ATACCTAAACGTTGGAAATTATGAAAAAAAACCTATTTTTATTGTTTTAAATTATTTAGAAAGGCTAGAAGCTAGAACTCTTTCGTTTATAATAGATCTGTACCAGAACTCTAATATAGAACTATAGTTTTATTTAAAATGTCAAATATTCGCGTAAATCTAAGAAAGTATTAAGTTATATCTTAAAACCAAATTACAAAGTAAGAAGGCAGTGGTAGCCCAGTGGTAACGCCCTCGCTTGGGAAACCGAGTGAGTGAGTGAGAGTGAGAGGACCCGGGAATTGAACCCGTTTCACTGGGTTCAACTCCCGGGTCTCGCACCTCTGATTTTTTCATGTGCGAATCATTACTAGCATGATTACCTCTTGTCTTACGGTGAAGCAAAACATCATGCGGAAACCAGCATATCTGAGAGAACCTAGAATATTTTCGAAAGACATGTAAAGTCTGCAAACCCGCACTTGGCCAGCGTGGTGGACTATGGCCTTATCCACCTCGTAGTGAAGGGAGCCCTTGCCCAGCTGTAGGACGTTAAGGGATGAATACATACATACATATATTTTTAGATGAATTACATCATATACTAATAACTTAAATTTTAGCATTTTTAAATCATTTAAAACAATGAAATTTGTTTTTTTTTTTATATTTTCCAACGTTCTGATATGATCTGCTGGCACTTAAACGTGAGTTCTGGAATCGAGTCGAGTTTTACATTGTATTTCTGATACAGATCTATTATAAACAAAAGAGTTCTAACTTCTAGCCTTTCTAAATAATTTAAAACAATAAAAATAGGTTTTTTTTTTCATAATTTCCAACGTTCAGGTATGCTCTGCTGGCACTTGGACGTGAGTTCTGGACTCGAATCGAGATCTACATCAGAGTTCTGGTACAGATCTATTATAAACGAAAGAGTTCTAGCTTCTAGCCTTTCTAAATAATTTAAAACAATAAAAATAGGTTTTATTTCATAATTTCCAACGTTTAGGTATGCTCTGCTGGCACTTGGACGTGAGTTCTGGACTCGAATCGAGTTCTATATTAGAGTTCTGGTACAGATCTGTTATAAACGAAAGAGTTCTAACTTCTAGCCTTTCTAAATAATTTAAAACAATAAAAATAGGTTTTTTTTCATGATTTCCAACGTTCAGGTATGCTGTGCTGGCACTTGGACGTGAGTTCTGGACTCGAATCGAGTTCTATATTAGAGTTCTGGTACAGATCTGTTATAAACGAAAGAGTTCTAACTTCTAGCCTGTCTAAATAATTTAAAACAATGAAAATAGTTTGTTTTTTCATATTTTCCAACCTTCAGGTATGCTCTGCTGGCACTTGGACGTGAGTTCTGGACTTGAATCGAGTTCTATATTAGAGTTTTGGTACAGATCTGTTATAAACGAAAGAGTTCTAGCTTCTAGCCTTTCTAAATAATTTAAAACAATAAAAATAGGTTTTTTTTTTTCATAATTTGCAACGTTTAGGTATGCTCTGCTGGCACTTGGACGTGAGTTCTGGACTCAAATCGAGTTCTATATTAGAGTTCTGGTACAGATCTATTATAAACGAAAGAGTTCTAGCTTCTAGCCTTTCTAAATAATTTAAAACAATAAAAATAGGTTTTTTTTTCATATTTTCTAACGTTCTGGTATGCTCTGCTGGCACTTGGACGTGAGTTCTGGACTCGAACTGAAATCTATATTAGAGTTCTGATACAGATCTGTTATTAACGAAAGAGTTCTAGCTTCTAGCCTTTCTAAATAATTTAAAACAATAAAAATAGGTCTTTTTTTCATAATTTCCAACGTTTAGGTATGCTCTGCTGGCACTTGGACGTGAGTTCTGGACTCGAATCGAGTTCTATATTAGAGTTCTGGTACAGATCTGTTATAAACGAAAGAGTTCTAACTTCTAGCCTTTCTAAATAATTTAAAACAATGAAAATAGTTTGTTTTTTTTATATTTTCCAACCTTCAGGTATGCTCTGCTGGCACTTGGACGTGAGTTCTGGACTCGAATCGAGTTCTATATTAGAGTTCTGGTACAGATCTATTATAAACGAAAGAGTTCTAGCTTCTAGCCTGTCTTAATAATTTAAAACATTGAAAATCGTTTTTTTTTCATATTTTCCAACGTTCTGGTATGCTCTGCTGGCACGTGGACATGAGTTCTGGACTCGAACCGAGTTCTATATTAGAGTTCTGATACAGATCTATTATAAACGAAAGAGTTCTAGCTTCTAGCCTTTCTAAATAATTTAAAACAATAAAAATAGGTTTTTTTTTTCATAATTTCCAACGTTCAGGTATGCTCTGTTGGCACTTGGACGTGAGTTCTGGACTCGAACCGAGTTCTATATTAGAGTTCTGATACAGATCTGTTATTAACGAAAGAGTTCTAGCTTCTAGCCTTTCTAAATAATTTAAAACAATAAAAATAGGTCTTTTTTTTCATAATTTCCAACGTTTAGGTATGCTCTGCTGGCACTTGGACGTGAGTTCTGGACTCGAATCGAGTTCTATATTAGAGTTCTGGTACAGATCTATTATAAACGAAAGAGTTCTAGCTTCTAGCCTTTCTAAATAATTTAAAACAATAAAAATAGTTTTTTTTTTCATAATTTCCAACGTTTAGGTATGCTCTGCTGGCACTTGGACGTGAGTTCTGGACTCGAATCGAGTTCTATATTAGAGTTCTGGTACAGATCTGTTATAAACGAAAGAGTTCTAATTTCTAGCCTTTCTAAATAATTTAAAACAATAAAAATAGGTTTTTTTTTCATAATTTCCAACGTTTAGGTATGCTCTGCTGGCACTTGGACGTGAGTTCTGGACTCGAATCGAGTTCTATATTAGAGTTCTGGTACAGATCTATTATAAACGAAAGAGTTCTAGCTTCTAGCCTTTCTAAATAATTTAAAACAATAAAAATAGGTTTTTTTTTCATATTTTCCAACGTTCTGGTATGCTCTGCTGGCACTTGGACGTGAGTTCTGGACTCGAACCGAGTTCTATATTAGAGTTCTGATACAGATCTGTTATTAACGAAAGAGTTCTAGCTTCTAGCCTTTCTAAATAATTTAAAACAATGAAAATAGTTTTTTTTTTCACATTTTCCAACGTTCTGGTATGCTCTGCTGGCACTTGGACGTGAGTTTTGGACTCGAATCGAGTTCTATATTAGAGTTCTGATACAGATCGGTGATAAGCGAAAGAGTTCTAGCCTTTTACAATAATTTGAAACAATAAAAATGGTATGTTCTGACTTTTCAAAAATTCGGATATGATCTGCTGGAACTTGGCTGAGAGTCCAGAACTATTCCTGAAAAGTATCAGGAACTGTAGAACTCAGCTCCTTGCGCGAAGAACTCACATTTGTTTTTGATTTTCTGCAAAATGATCTGCTACGGGAAGTTAGCAGATCATTTTGTCAATTGACTTTTTTTAAGGTAAAAACGCCAGAACTATTTCTAAAAAGTATCAGGAACTATAGAACTCTCGTGCATGCGAATAGAACTCACTTTTTTTTTTGATCTGCTGGACAATGATCTGCTAAGTTCACTGACATCATAGATGTACTATGTCATGTTAACTGGTCATAAATTAAGTTAACTAGATTAAGTCTTCTTATATTTTATTTGCTTAATCAATTAAATGTATATAAATAATTAAAAGTTATATAAATACAGAATCGTACAACCATGAACGAATGTGGCTAATTCGTTCATGCGTACAACATATAGATATAACATATCAATGTTTTTATAATTTCATTTAAAGGTTTTTGAATTCCTCTACTTAACAGATGACGGTTTATTTATAGAAAATAATTGAAAAGCTCCAATATACTCGTACGTATGCATACAGACGAACATATTTCAAACGCATGGATGCTCGCATCTAGAATTACTCTGTTTCATCCATTGGAAACAATAATTACTTTGAAAAACTTCCTTCCTTGTACTCCTTTGTTAATCTTCAGTACAAGAGTAACCTTTGTTTTACAAACAGATGCAAGTAAGCACTGTCAGGCCGACATCTGGTGTATTTTTTTTTAATTCCACTAACAAAACGGTCTATTTTAAAAACGTTAGTTAAATTTCTTTTTTTATGAGTTTATGAAATGAAATATCATATTCATGTAAGCACTTTACATAATTATAATTAATTGGAATGTATGTCAATAGACAACATCATAATTTGAAGTAAAAAATAATTTTATTATTATTTAATACCAACTTTTACTAGGCGCAGTGAGGGTCACATGTTCAATCATCATAACGATTCTTCATCTTAGTTACTAATTGCGATAAAACCGCGATGTTGAGAACTATCCCCAATAGTTCTTGAAATATAAGAAATGATTGATTGATGAAGGGAACGGCGAGCTTAATCACTTCGTAGTTTACAGCAAGAACATGTGATATAATAAGAAAATGTGTAAAGCAACATAGGTATCTATGTATATCTATTATTATATTTAACTTGTGTTCCATATTATAGGTATGACAGAGCCTGTGCAATATCTCGATGAAAGCGGTTTAACATATACATTGAAAATATAGGTACCATAATAAAATAGCCCAGTTATTAATACTGTTCGGAATGCAGAATATTTATGTTCCGCATGCGATACGGAACAGCTGCTTGTAGTTGCAGAATGTCATCCCTTGTCAAGCTTCTCAGTTTACAAGCAACAGTCAAAAGTTGAGATTACTTTTTCATTTGCATAATTGATTTCCGCATTTTTAAAACTGCATATATTAAATTATGATATTTAAGAAAGATTAATTTCAATGAATTAGAGATTATTTTATTGTAAACTAAGTATTTTTTGTTGAATCTTTTCTTCATATTGAATATAAATAGCAAGAGTTAGTGCATTTAAAATATTTCTGTAGCATATGCTTCCTAATAGGTAAACGGAACCGGCACCGAATATGAATGAACGTCAACATCAACAATGTACGGAGTTTATTTACAAACATTAAACGCTGGCGTATGCTACCAAAATGGACACATATGAGCACTCAAATTAAATCTGGTCGCAGGCTCCCCTTCATAAGCGTACGTGATTTTTGTTCTGGTAGGGACGTTTCCTGTTCGCGCGTGCTAAGAAAGCTGCTCTTCCTTGTGAAAGCTCGCACGTGTGGCGACTGGCGAGGGTCCACCTGCGCGCGCGCTCGAGATAGGCGAGGGCGCAGAGACCGACGCGCGGTCGACGGGATGTGTCGTGCTTAGTGATTCGTAGTTCGCTCATTTCCGAAATTATGGGACCCCAATTTGACTATTGCCTGCGAGCTACCAGTAAGTGTTTTCATTCTGTTTGTTCGTAACTTATCTCTATAAAGTCATATATGTTGCTATTTAATTGAATTTAGTTTATCTAATTACGTATATAAAAATATTATTCATCTTTTATTAGTTATTGGTATGTAATAACTATTATTTAGTGCATAGTAAAAGATATTGGTAATACCTAGTACTTGGTCAGTAATTTATATTTCATCAAAATTGTATTGAAGGCACGCTTAAATACTAACATTGTTGACAACAAGGGCATAACTTGTGTACATATTATATATAACTACCTTTTAAAAAATTATGAAACTGATAATTATTTGCTCTTTTTAAATTATTCCGACTTCTCATGAGATGCACTCTACAATTTGTTGCATGCTAATCATTTGCTCTACGTTTCGTATTTTAAATTCATAAAATAAGTCTTACGCTTAGCATAGAATGAAGATATTATGTATGACATGTGCAAAATACTTACAGTTATATACTAATACTAGCGTTTTCCTGCGGCTCCGCCCGCATAGTACATAATCACCAACAGATCATATACTAAAAATTCTCCGAAACACGCTGCATCTTATGGTATGAGTATTATCCCGATCGGTTCAGTAGTTATCGCAGTATAACCGAACAAAAAAATCGGCTCTCCATTTATTAGTATAGATACCTTTAATATACTATATGTAAAATTTAGACTGTTTTGTTTATTATTCGGAATATTAGTTCCGTTAGTTTTTTTTCTTCAGACACATTTTACGCGTTTTCCAAGAATTTAAATTGATTCATCAGCTAGCAGATGTGTCTATAACTAAGTTTGTTCACATTCATCGACTACCATTCTATTTTATTTTTAGAGGGTTAACTTTTATGTCTATAAAAATAATTATTTTTTAAAGTAGGTACATCACATATAAAGAATACCTATATATTTTTTTACTGGAAGTATATCACATAATATATGTTTTATATTATTTTCTAGAAAATCTCTAGAGATTATTTTTGTATTAATATCATAATTAAAATATGTACATATTTACTTCAAGTCTTTTTATAACAAACATGCCCTAATAAATTTCCACGAAAGAATTAACATAAAGATTTTCTCACGGTAATTAGAATGTGTAATATCTGTTAAGCACATTAAAATTAGGCACGATAATGGTTCGTGAGTTAACCTACCATTGTAAGGTACTTGTAGTTTTTGTAGGACATATGTATGTCTCGAGGGACAATTCAACACGATCCGTGAAATGCATTAACAAAATATTCCACAGATGCGGGCAGAAGCGGGTAGCTTTGTGTAAAATCTTCTATGTTTTATGTATCATTTCTATTCTTTTACCCAAAAAGTTTTTAAATATGTTTTAGAATTATTATTATAATACAAATAATGCTAACTTTATTTAACTAATATTAAGAACAGTTGAGTCTACTATTTGAAGCAGGTCAGAAACAAAAAGTGACATTTATCTAGGATTCACCCCACGTTATAAGAATTTAGGTTTATATATGGCAGAGCTGGGTAGAGAAGATTGCCTTCAATTCGCATTTTCCGGCTTACAAAAGTAGGTTGGTCTACGGCCCGCACTGGACGTAATGGAGAGCCGTTAGTTCATTGTCGTTATTGAATAATTCCCGCGCTACACAAGTCGTTCGGCGCTAGCCAACGGGCGACGCCGCTTCAGATACTGATGATGATCATTGGTACGCAAGGATCTTTGAATGACCATTTTAGGTCGCGTAATTGATTCTATATTTAAATATCCTGTTTACGTTCAGACTACGGCTACGCTTACCAATTACATTGTTATCTTTTATAAAAATAAAACAAACAATTTTAGGCATTAATATTACGATTTTTTTGAATTTTGTTATAGACAATCCGTCGTACTTCGCGTTTTCTGACAAAGATGTTGCCGATAGCGCAAGTCCACATGCTACAGGATCAGAGCAATACTCCCGATCTGCACCAGCCAGGTCATGGGCTGATGGAGCCCGGCCTCTTAGCTCTCCAAGAAGAAGAGAACCAGAGAGCCCCAGAAGAAAGGAATTTAGAGCACTTCTCAGATCGCTATCAGCGAAGGAACCTGAACAAGCTGAAGCTTTCCTTAAAGGCCAACCTAGACCAGGTGATTGCGCACCTGGTGATATGAGAAACACATATACTGCCCCTAGAATCAAGTAAGTATATATGTTAAGACTAGCATTGCCCGCGGCTCCGCCTGCGTTCAGATGACCAAAAACCAAATACTTAGGTTTTACATATTAGTATATTCTGACAATGCAGTTTTTGTATTTCTTCTCAAATTGAGATATGTTTCCGCGGTAAAAAGTATCATATATGTTGACCCGGATAACCAGCTATCACCATACCAAATTTCATCAAAATCCCTCCAGTGATTTTTCTGTGACGCGGTAACATACAGACACAAAAATTCTAAAAAGTATAGATTCGGCCTCTGTATCGATAATTATGTTTATTTCAATAAGATTTTCCAAAAAATATTTAATATACAGATTCGGCTTAATTACAATTTTATTATATGTATAGATTATGACACTTATATTTTACATATAGGTACTTATATTATACATGTATACTTATATTCTAACATTTTATCCTTAAAAAATATGATTGATATGCTTATTTGTTAAATATTTTATTGGATTATATTAATTTAAATTATGAAGGAAGACGGATACATAAAGCATTAATAATAATATACTCGTGTACAAATAAAAGGCTACGCCGACGATGCGCTGTCCAAGTGTTACTCGACCCAGTTTCACTATCAGCGAAGAAAACAATGGATGCAATAAAATTTTCTTATCTGGTACCTATATTCTTTTAATGCAGGAAGGGCAAAATCAGTTCAAAAGTAGTAACGCCAGATGGCACAAAAGAGCATGAGGAGGTGTTCTATACCATTCCTTTACAAGGGCGAAGACGCCATTCAGTCGGAGGCTATTTAACTACAGGATCTGCCGGAGCCGGGGAAGTTACGACAGTTCCTAGTGAGGTACCCAAGATGCCGCCACCTCGTTTTAACCAAACTGAAGAAGAAGCGGTCAGAAGACGTCGACCAAAAAACTTTCCATTTAAAGGTAAGCTTAAATACTTTTTAAGTATAGCACGTATCATAACCAATGTTCTCGAAGTCCTAATTAGCTTCAGAATGTAAATGTTTTAAGTTTTGTAATTATTTATCTTAAGAAAGCTTTGTCGTCAATTTCTATTAATAGCTAATAATGAACGTAGAAATGGACAGTATGATAAATGGTCGTAAACAATACGTTAGAGCGTAGGATACTATCAGCGGAGAACGTTGCACCCGAACTCTTCGACCTCTAACGATAACGAAATGCATTGTCTCGACTTCTATCTATTGTTAGGAAAACATATGACGCCGTATTGGTGTTACATATTTCTAGACATGTTAAATATGTTATAGAGAAAAATCAAAACTAAATCTTTTTTTATTTTAATAATAGTCGCAGGAATCGACACCTTAATGGTGATTGCGGAGATGATATTAATCTTTATATGACAATCAATAAGTCAATATTTGAACAATATCTACTTAACACTCGACACACAATAGATACCACAAGGTATTACCATATATCAATCTTCAGAAACCGTACAATGTTCTGCGATTAGGCTTATCGTCAGATATATTGAGAATACAATCGGAACGTGTCAGTGTTTACAGCGTCATATTTGGCGATCGATAACGTTTGGGGAATATTTACTTTGGACCCAAAGTGGGTCCATATTTGACAAGATAGTCGTCAGAGATGGTGTTGCGATTATTGTCGCGGCGAGCTTGCGTTTTAATGTTGTTAGTATGCGAAGTGCGTGCGCGCGCGCCGCCTGACGCCACGCAGCACTCCCGCCGCGCCGGCGCGACTCGCGAACCGCCACTTCGCGACTCTCTGTTCTCGGCTCTCGCTCATAAGCCCCGTCCACTTTGCTTATACCTTGGCCATTCTAGTGCTTCTGCAGTTAAGTGCAATGTCGTATTTAAGTTAAGGACATAGTATCATTTCGGTTCCTGGTTGAGGATACGATTAAGGAAACAATGGCAGCTGAACATGAGCGTGAGTTTGTTTAGTTATATTATTAACAATTTATAAATTAATAAATTAAAAAAAAAAACACTTTAATCATTCAACAAAAACAATTTTCAATTACAATTCATTTTATTTAGTACCTACCTAATTTGTCCAATTATGATTTATTTCCTAAAAGACTTGCTAATTCTGTACTTATAAACGAATACAATAAATTTATTAAATTACTTACGTAAGTAAGATTTACTTTAGGTAATGAACAAAATATATCTTAGACAAACGCATAGAGCTTTTTTGTACCAAATATATATTCAAGTGTCCAAAGTAAATGTCGAAGGGGCACCGTAACGTACCATAGCCAAAATATTTTTGCCGGCTAAATTTTCTTCATTCGGTAATTCAGTCGTTACCTACTTGGTATAAAGATGAGAATCGTGTACTCTGGACATTGTTGCGCTTTGCCCACATTACCGATGCAGGATGGCAGGACTGGCGGAATAAACATGGTATACTTTACATGCATCGAAGCGACTCCCGTAATGTACTCGCAGTAAGAATATAAATGTAGACGCCTATTTTGTTCTCTAACTTAACTAAAGAATCGCCCTCATGTAACAGAATTATATTCTTTCTTGTATAACAAATTTTATGATGTCCGCTTTTATCTTGCCGTATATACATTAGAAGCTTTTATTTTCGATGGCATTCAATATTAGAAATGCGCGTTATTTTAAAATTTAATGATAATGATTATTAGAAACAATAGGTAAGATTATTTTATTATGTTTATGTAGATTTCTATCTCAGCGACCAAATAGGTCAAGTCCGTGGGATATAATTCGTGGATATACAATAGGGTCGCCGCTGTATTGAATTCATAGGTAGATCGGAGTGCGGTTACAGAATTTTCCTTATATTTTTATCATCAAAGCAAATCAAATATAAATATGATACTTTATTATGATTACTTATAATAACTTAGTATCGTAAATATGAGAATATGCTTGCATGTTGACTTGTCCTTTTTCCAGGCCACGCAGCAATGATGCAAAGGATCGATGTGATTTTTTGCTTAGAGCTAGTTTAAGGCCTTGGCCCTAGAAGGTCACATGTGTTTCACTTCATATCTTGAAATTTGCCTGTTTCAAACTCTAGACCAGCCATACTCAACTTTTTTTTGATAAGAGCCACAAACACGTTTTAGTCATGGTGTCGAGGGCCACAAGCAAAAATTATTTAGGTCTTAATGAAAACGTAATTCCAAGTTAACGATGTAGTTACTTTTTTAACAAAGATATGTTATAATGCGATTTTTGATTCTGCCGTATGCGGCCCGCGGCCCGCAGGTTGAGTATAGCTGCTTTAGACTCTAGAGACGCTAAGCAAATCAATGACAGATCACTAGATTTAATAAAATAGAAGTAATAATTTCAGAAAAAAGGTACCTAGTTTAACAAACGTTAAAAAATACTCACCTATATAAATAAGTAAATAATAAATATTACTTACACGTGCCAAATTACGTCCTAATCAGTATGTTCGGTACGTTGCTATCACAGCCGTATTACCCACATATTGCTTTAAATGAAGGCACTTGAGCTTTGAAGTGGCAATAATACATTAGATCATATTATGTATTCGTTTGGGGAACGATATTACCTGAAACCACCATTTCTTATAAGTCAATTCGAATGTGTAAGTGTTAAAATTGTTATTTACGAAAGTATATGTACATAAAATTGCGTGTCACAAATCATTTTACTGATTTTGGGTGACTAATTGTAAGACTGGTGTTATTTTCGCACATAGTTGGACTAGTAAACTCGGGCTGAGTAATCTAAAAGTATGATATATTTATACTGCTCTAATTACTATGTGATGTCAGAAAGTATAAAATTGCAATGATTAAGCACAGAAAACTCACAGAAGGCACAGAAAAAGAAGGAAAAGTTTATTTTGATACCATGAATCATTTGCAGTACTGCCGCCAGCTCAGAGTTCTTATTAAGTGAAACCATAACAGATTCTTTGTTTTTATAAGTAACATCATAATGTACTTATTGGGATCTGACGTTTGAGTGGTATATATTTTTAGGTTGTGTGGTTTATGCGATCAGTGGTTCTATAGTTCTAATATATAAATTTCGTGCATTTTTTTTAAAACCAAAGACTATCATTAAAATTAGGTCAAAATACGCCAGATGTTTTCATTTGTATAGGTAAGCTTTGGTTGTTCCACTTTGTAGACAAAGCCCAGAACAATTTATGGTAAACATTCTTCCAATCAAAATAATTTACACGACTGAAAACAGTAGATCAAAAAAGCACCTGACAACCCATACCGTTGTAGGAAACTGCAATATTTCAGCCGGCACATCAAAGGCGTCGGCCATTGAACTGAATACGCCCATTGGCTCAATGATAACTATCTTTTATAATTAAGAAATACCGTAAAATCTTTCTGATTTAGTTTTTGTCATTATCAGTCAATATTGAATAATCATCGATTAAACAATTGTGCAATGCTGAGTGCTACTCGATTCGAATAATAGTCCAGCTAGTTATACTAATGATTTTCACACATTCGAAACATTATAACACGGAAGGCTATTAAAATTATTTCAAATAATAAAACCATGATCCTGTTATTCCTATATACCGAACGTTTTATTAAGTCCGCGCCTTGCGCTGCATTTAATCGGCTATAGTTATTCCGGGCCACGCTGATAGACGTTTGTCTATTTAGGAAACGGATATTACATTTAGTTGGGTCTTCATTTGGCGGCAGAGGTGGGTAAGTATAAATCCGTATGAATTTCCGGTGCGCGCGGTGCATAACATATTTTGTAAGCAGCCGATGCGTATGCACAGCGCTGGCTGCAATAAAAACTTTAACAACCAACGCATGTTTTTAATCTTGTATACGTTGGAGAGAAATGTGTTTTCAGGAGTGGGGTAGTTTTTGAGCCAGTGAGTAGGTAATCTTAAAATAGCTTTAGTAAGCGATTAACAATCAATAATTGAAGTTTAATTTTGAATGTATTATGCATCTTAAATTGTTTTAATTGATTTCAAGTGGCATTAAGAATAAACGCTCTAATGGCAAGTCGAGGGCTCAAGACGGGCGGTCAGGTTACGGGCGGCGCGGGCGTGCAGCTGTAGGAGCGCAGATGTCGTTGCAATTTATCATCTGAACTGCGTTTTACAGATTAAATGATGTGATATTTTTAAATTGTGATTTTTATGAGATATATCTGAGCACCTACAGAGAACACGTCATATATAAGTAACAAACTTAAGTTGTATTAACATAATACCTACACTCGTAATTATATTTACATAAAAAACAGGTTACTGTAAATAATAATTCTAACGGAAGTGGTTCGTATATACAAAAAGAATAAGAAAAACGAACTTCAGTTCTAATAAAACTTCAAAGCTAACACACGCAAACATGCATGGCAAAGGCACCGTGTATAAAGTCTTGTTGCGTAGAGCTTTATAATGACCCGTGAACTTTGATTCAGGCAACGACCCAACATGATATCAAGTGAACGACATCGTTCATGTCTTGATTATCCCTTGACAACACTTCCTCTAAACATTACGCATTTTACATAAACTAAGCGTTCTGACAGCGTATCAATCTTACTTGATGTAAAGCTAACGTTTAGGGTGTTGGTTATTTCCTTGTTAGATAACGCATCAACTGTATAATAAAGTAACTGGGAAGAGACCAATATATTGTTCTTAGAATCAATCTGCTCTCCTTCCGGCTATCTTTGTCTTGAATACTACGGTATCTCTATTATTTATTAAGTAATTTTGTAATAATTCGTGGTACTAAACTTTAATTGCCATATCTCTATTTCTATGTGCGAACGTAATATTAATTAACAATATGTAATTGTATACGAGTGCTAATATTACGACAAAGAGGAAAGGGTTGCTTGTTTCTTTGTTTATTTGATATCTATAAACTCCAAAACTGCTTAACCGGTTTTAGTACATAATTCTTTCACCATTTAAAAGCTACATTATTCAAAAGTAAAATATGATATATTTTAATTTATATTAATAAACACAGTTTTTTTTAGACAAAACGAACTTAAAGTTATACTGATTATTGATTATATTTTTTTTTCAGAAATGGAAGATATTGCAATACTATGGAGCTCGGGCTCACCAGAAAGTGCTCTGTGGTCCGATTATCTTGTTGCGAGCTTTGACAAAATCATGTCTCAGCGAGCTCGACACCATTACAGGTTAGTGATCTGACAATGACTGATAATTTTAATAACTGATTGAATAATAATGAAAGGTTTAAATAAACTTCAACGTTGATATATTCAAATAAAATGGCATAAGTTGTACCGACTATATCTACAACATTTTAACTGGTAGAAATATGCTGTTGTTTCCTACTTAATACGCTGATTGCGTAACGTAAATGAGAAGCTTCCGTTTATAATTTTATAATTGTCTTAAAAGGGTTAAAGAGAACACTACAAAACTAAAATAATGATGTTTTTTTATTGTGTAAACTTTTTTATCATCAATTATGTTTTGTTTCAGAGTTACACCAATAACAGCAGAAGAACTAATGTCTTCTGATTCGCAAGAAAAACTGGACAAGCTTGCGAAAGCCCAATTGCAAATAGTCATCCTGTGTCCAATTCTAGCTACTAAAATGTCTGAATTAAAAAGAGATCTAAATTCTGAGAATATATTTAAAGTCGACAAAATCTTAGTCATGCTTCTTGGCGTGGAAAAAAATCATGTTATTGCTAACAATTGCGAAGGTAATTTTATTACTTAAAAGTCAATACACATTTTTGGTAAATATTTTTTTACGAGTTTTTGTTTTAACAGTATAAAAGCTTTAGTTTATAGCCTAAATATTCAAAGGCGATATATCGATTTCATTTAACGATTGATTAAATTACGTAATCCATACTAATATTATAAATGTAAAAGTGTGTTTGTTTGTTTGTCCTTCTTTCACGTCGAAACGGAAAGACGGATGATTTTTTGTGAGGAGAGTTGACTGGAGAGTGACATAGGCTACTTTTTACCGCGGGAGATTACAATGCAAAAAATATTTATGATCAGAATTACGTCAAACTTGATATTTATACTCTTCAATAAAATCAAATAAATACGTGTTTTAGTATTTATCGAAATTCATTCTATAAGGGGGTAAAATAGGGGATGAAAGTTTGTATGAAACTACCTTGTTACATATTTTTTGTAGTTTTAGCGCAAGCGAAGCCGCAGGTTCTGCTAGTTTAACAATAAGAAAAAATATTTCAAAATTTAAAATATTATCGTTTCATCCAATAAACGAAAAAAAAGCACATAGGTATTTTTGTGGTATTTAAAAACGTGAAAGAAAAAACTGACATTAGTAACCTACTACTTGCAGATTATCCCTCGATAGACCAGTGGCAGATGATGTCTGTACGTGAAAAAGACACATCATTTGTAGACACGTTTCTAACGGCGGCTGTTGGAATATTGAGGACCAAGGATTGCAAAGATACCGCTACAGATAGAACGAGTTTCTCTATTGTGCCAAAGAAAGTTAAAATTGTAAGTATTTTGTTATTAATTTTGATACTGTATTCTTCACTACAAGATTTTTGCTTTAAATATGTACAACCCACGTGGAATAATACCTTTTTTTTTTAACGTTGGGAAATGCATTTACGCACGACGTGTGGGACTCGCCGGCGTAATACAGCCAGTACTACCCACTAAAACCCAACAAAACCTTCCCCCGTCTTAATGGGGCGTCGCAGGATCGCTTACGCATTCAACTACGACGCCCCGACGGCAGGTCTGCCGAAGCAGACCACCACAACCATGGGGTTGCTCCAAGGTCCACTCTGCTATCAGAGAAGTACCAGGAGCAACCCGCAAGGTACACCGCCCCCCGAGGAGGGCCACCTCCCACCGCCCACCGAAGTGGGCAACCTCCCTGTGCGTTTCTTAGCTTCGCGCCCGGTTGGATTGCCGGGCACTACTGAGCCCCCCCACCACGACAAGGTGAACGCACGTTGGGGGGGGGACGTGGAATAATACCTAGATCATAACCAAGTGAAAGAAATTTTGTAATAAATAATGTTATCACAGGGTCAAAGTCGAGTGATAGCGCTTCTCAACGACCCTATTAGAGAAGAAGACAGTATAAAGATAATGGTGGACAAAAAAGGCGAGGTCATTCACATACCGACCTTTAAAAAGAGGAATCCTTACACTTTACAATTTGATATACCGGGTATGTTAAATGTAATATTTTTCTTAATAAAATGCTGTAAGAATAAAATTTTCGAATAAGAGGCTTAGTAAATTATTATATTTTCAGAATCATGCTTAGAAGTTTCGATGTTAGTTTGGGTGCGAGTGAGCAAAAATGGTCAGTCTTTAGGAAGAAGACAAATAAAGTGCGAAAGTCGGTTAAGAGAACTGGACCAATTGCTGAGGGCTTCCGATCATCCTTTAGAGTTTATGTGCCAGGTAAGTCAAAGAATTTTACTTAGTGATTAATACTGAAAAAGTGTGATTGGAATTTAAACAATCATCATGATTTACTATGTTATATTTATATCAACTTTTAATTTTTTTTCAGACATTAGGTTTTAAGACTACAAGTAAGGAACAATTAGATAGTTGGATGCTAAATGCATTTCAGAAAAACATCCCGCCACATTTCAATCTGCTCTCTTCATCGGAGCAGTACAACCCGAAATCTGATATGACGAGTAAGTAAGGCAATAGGCATACCTACAGTGCAATTAATTTGATATAAATATCTAAATTTGTTTATAGTCCTAGGTAGAGAAAATATGAAAAATTATTTCCGTGTGGAAACTTTGACGAAATGAACCTAAAAGAAAGAAATTGTGTAGAATTTAATTGATGTATAATACTTTGACTTCTGGGAACATAATCTATGGACAATATCTATTAATATATAAAGCTGAAGAATGTGTTTGTTTTAACGCGCCAGTACCAGTTCAATTTAAAATTGTGGAAAGTTGGTTGAAAAGTGGCTATCTATCAACACGTAACGACGTTTAAGAGTGAAGCAATTACACATAAATAAACAATGCGAATAAACGTACATAATTATTACATAAACTTCGATAATTTTCATATTATATTTTTTGTGTTTTATTATAAATATAAGAGTATATATCGTTATTAAAAGATAGACGTCTTAAGGAGTGCACAAAAATCTTCTATGTTTCTTTTAAAGAAGGTAAATTACAGTATCTACAATGTAAATGCAGTGGTAGCCATACAGAATGTTTAACTATACCTACAATACAAGTTACAATAAAAACACTTATTTTAAAATTATTTATAAAATCAGGCGGTGAAGAGTATCCGACGCTGCTGCACTGGGCGGCCCGGTTCGGGCTGGAGCGCGTGTGCTGGCAGCTGCTGGAGTGCCCGGGCGGCGGCGCGGCCGTGGCGCTGCGCAACGCGCGCCGCCGCACGCCCGCCGACCTGGCGCGCGACCACAAACACCACCGCCTCGCCGACATGCTCGCTGACCACCTTGTTAGTATCTACACTATATACTTTATATTTTTTATCTATTTGACATACTCTTAATTTTGAAATCTTTATATTTCTAGATTTAAACGACTAAATATTACTAACTTAAATTTAACTGAAACTATTTAATAGAGTACTAAAATATGAGAAAGTGGTCTTGTGTGCATTTGCTCTTTTTTTTTGTAGTCAGTATTTAAAAAAAATAACCTTATAGCTCGGTTAAAAAATTACATTATTATATTAAAAACATTTAGTAAGAGTAAAAATAATTTCATTTTCTAATTTTCATATACAAGCAAAAAATATCATGTCTGACTTTAAAATATTTATTACAGAAAATAAACGAGTTTTCAAATATGTACTACTATTTGAAAAACATGTCTGATAATGACAAAGAAGATAATGAAGAGAACGATAAGCAAGATGAGCTTTGTATAATTGAAAGTACTGACACTGTTGACTCACCGGACCGAGAAAACGTTAAGGAAACTGACAGTGAGACTTTGTCAGATCCGTTCAGCGAAGCTTGCACCCAAAACTTAGAAGTAACACCAGAAAAGAAGGAAGAAAAGAAACAAAAGCCAAACCTAAAATTACCAAGACCTAAAGAGCAATTTTATCAAAACGACTTTCAAGTGCACGATGACACTGTAGATCGTATCCAACAAGCAATAGACCATGATTACCTCGTCCAGCCTTCGAACATAAAAGTAGAGAGTCCAAAATTCAGACCTAATAATTTATACGCGAATAGTTCGAGACTGCTGCCTCACCATACTGACATATTTCTTTACTCTCCCACCGAAGAATCAAAGACTTTTAGTATTGACACTCCAACAAGTGATATTAGTCAGCTTAATTTAAATATGAGAGACATTCGTAACAGCGGAAGCATTAAATCTGGCAAAGATGCCACAGGTCAAGAAGAACTAGCAGAAATTATAACAGATTTTAAAAATAACGTTTTTACCATTTCTGAGGTAGAAAAACTCGTTATGGAATGGAGAAACAGAAACGAAACGCAACAGTCCCTAAAAGAAAAACAAGAACAGTTAAATAAGATGAGAGAAGAATATGATAAAATCCAGCAGAAAATTAAAGACAACATGAAACGACCCACGCCCTTCGAGAGGGTAAAGAAAATGTTTTCGAAAAGCAAAACTAAACGTACGTATTAAAAGTCAATATTAACTATAAATAACTCTTCAACTGATTAACTCCCCATATACTAAGAGTTACTAATATATTTTCAGATCATGACAACACTAACACAGGTACAATTGAAAAACGGAATGGTAGCACAAGACCAAATAGCAGCTTAAGCGACAGTAAGTTTTCTGTAAATGTAAATAAATACTATTAGTCTTATTTTATACTTAAATGAATTTTAAAATGATTCTTTATTGTTTACTAAGGTTCGTCATCCTCGGGACGCCTTAGTACTGTTAGCGGTGGGAGTGTCGGTGAAACTAATAGTGTCCAGTCAGAATTAGACGATAAGGCTAGATCTATTGTAAGTGTCTATTAAAAATTATCTAATATAAAAATATCTTTAAATAAATCTATATTTTGGTATTTATAAAGCATCAGTATGATATACATATGTAATTTGTACATACATACATAGTTTGGTACTCTGCAGGTTCCGTACCCAAATTGGTACATTATGATTGTGTTACATATTTCTTATATCAAGTAGGTATGAACTTTTACTAACATAGGTAAAATATGTTACCAATGTACCAACTTAATTTTAAAAAGAAGATAGTGTAAACACAAATAAAATCCTGGAAAAAATGTTTTTTGCAAAATAAAAGGGGTGTCCCTTAATTTCTTACTATTTGCTTGTTTTATTATTGGTTAGGATATACACCATCTATATTCGGTAAAAACCTCAATCGACAGGGTTACAAAGTACCTAATTATAAATAAAACTCGTCATTTCAAGAATATTGATAATCGCTTTAAATTATAAAACTAATCTACAGGAAGTATAATAATACAATGTCTACTTTTAGATATCGGCGAGTACTTTGACAATGAATTCATGTGACAGCGACAATCGTCTTGACGACTACTTGATCCCTCCGCCGCCGCGACCCCTCAACGGATGTCCTCAATTTACCACATTTGGACATCCCAAGCACGAAAATAGGTAAATATAGGTACTTCCTTTAAATTGCGTGTTTATGTAGGAAGTTAGGAAATCAATTTGTGATGTTGATCACTCAAAAATGTTACATAGTTTTTGGTAAACCTACCTACTTTGTGAAAATATAATACCTATTTCACTATCGTATAGTTGGTGAAATTTTGTTAAAAATGTGTATTATGACAGTATTTTTTTATTTTATTTTAGCAGAGGCCAACATATGGCGACGATTGTCGAAAGAGAAACGTCTGCATCTAGAGAAAGATTGGACTGCGATTCCGACACTAGCTCCACACACTTACGACTAAACTTCTCCCCGCGCGACAGAACTGTCGCAAGTCGCTGCGACGATCGCGACGGCGCACACATGTATATGAACATTTCGGCTACGCATACATAAAAATAATAACTTTCCTGTAAAATATATTAATAATTAATTAATATTGTAGCATAACAAATAATTAACGGTCCTCATACGAATATAGATGTGGTTATATGACGGCAATCAGCCTTATTTAGGTTGAATACAAAGTTACATTAAAATCTTTAAAGGCTTGTTGTTCATATCAGCATCAACAGGTACTACATTGTCATTTGCGTCACCAATACTTAGAATATTATTGTACTAGTCTCATATAGTAATCTTTTAAGTTAGTAACAGTGATTAATTATGTGACTTGGTTTAAGCTTTAATCCATTTTTGTTAGATTGAAATTAACAGGAAAACTGACTGTTGTAGAGCAAAATAATATTTTAATTTGAAATAACGATATATAGGCCAGTATTAATAAATAAAAATACAATTACTGAGTAAAATGTTAGTTTGTATAGATGTTCGTCCATAAAAAAATGAAATATAATTAACACGCACATATACATGTGGATATGGAAATTATTTGACTGTGTAATCAATATATTTTAAGCATTCTTTTATATCTTTGTATTTTTTTGTTTGTTTTTAGGTCACAATCACTAAATTTTACTTTGTAAAGACTGAAAATAATTCTTGAAACCATTACTATGTAAATAATTGTATATAATATTTTAAGTAATTTTCAGCATTTCTATTTATTTTTAAACAAAATTTTACATTTGTATCATGAAAAATGTTAAAAGTTTTACACGCCAAACATAAGACTTAGTATTAAGCATAATTTTTTAAATTTTCGTGTACCATAATTATATAATAATAACATTACGATCGAGTCTGTCCGTGACCACGGCTGGTGTTACCAAGTGAATTCACGCGTTTAAGTCCCGTAGTGTTATTATTAGTAGTAAGTGTTCTTTCATTGTGGAAGGACAATAATAAAACCAAATTTTTTATTAAACTTTTGTAATTACCTTTCAAAATGCATTTACAATACATGAAAATAAAAATAAATTAAACAACTAAACGAGTTTTTATATTTCGCAGTACCCCTTGTTCCTTTTGCTATCTTTAATATCTGTATTTAAACACTCTTTAGTTTTCTTAATTAAAATTATAAGTAGAATAATAGTATAATAAAGATATAAACAATTAAGTAAAAATATCCCTTCTGCTTGCAATATAACAATATTCGATGTCAATTCCTGACTAGAATATATGAACGATAAAATAAATACATACTTCATAACGCCCGTAAACTTCTAAAATCTTCTATCTAAATTTCTAAATTCTTACAAACTTTACAGGAGGAACATAACACTTATTTATTAATTAAAAACAAATCGTGGTGAATTTTGGTAAAACAAATAAGTTGTTGATTGGTATTTACGTCTTTTTATGATATTATAATTAAATGCGGTTATAGTTCATCCGCGTTAAGAAAATAGTGATTCATCGGTGTCCATCGGCCTAGCCACGCCCCCCGACCAATTAGGTTGCTTAAAATTATAAAATCAGGTTCACAATGATGTTCCAGTTGAAGGCAGACTTAAATATATTATTAATGACTTTATTTTGATTTGAGATAATCATGTTCATTAATTATCGCGAATCAAAATAGATTCATTGTCGTTATAATATGATGACTTTATTTTGATTTAAGATAATTAAGTTGATTATTTATCTCAAAACAAAATAAAGTAATTATCATATCAAATGAAGATTTGAGATAAGACAATTAAGTTTATTTTTATTCATTAAACTTAATATTTTGAAATATTGAATTTGAATTGAATTTTTACTCCCACTTTGTATACACATTTACCTGCCGTTGCACTTAATGACTCACTATTTTCTTAAAGCGAATGGACTATTATAGTATAATGTTGCTGATGGCAATAAAATAAAGTTTTGCACAAAAATACTAGTTAAGAGGTATCAGAAGTTCACGGACGATATGTATATTGTTAAATAACATTAAATATTATAAAAAAATAAATAAATGCACATTTCACACGGACAAGGTCCCTATGTAGGATGCGAACACACCAAACAATAGTAAAAAAACTCAAGACAATAAAAATGTATGTGAAAACTCAAACATTTACAATTTATAGGAATTATAAGGAAAAACGCCAGTTACATATATGGACGTCAATAGAAACTGAACACAATGCAAATCGTTGATAAACTTAATAGCTTCCATGAATATTAGTACGAATACGGCATAATATTATTGCACTCATCTCCTTACGAAAATATGTTATTTTATTTTTGCCACACAGTATATTTAAGATTAATTTTTTGTATAATTTTATTTATAAAAAATGATATAGCATACTGCATACCTGAAAGTTGCAGGTCATAAGACGATAAAAAATGTAAAATTAAAAACTAAATTGTGCTATTTGGTACTAAATAATAATGTGACAATGAGATAAACAAGTGCACGTTTTGTTTAATAATATAATATTGCCATATAATTGAAATAATTTCACTAACCACTAAGTGGATTAAAACTCGGTAACACAATAAGGGCAAATTATTATGTTAATTTGTTTATAAAAATATAACAACACGTAAATAATGTAAATTAGTAAAATATTCATTTTTGGTATTGTTACGTAAAAGTACCTAAAGAGTAGTAATTTTAGCACAACATGCATCATTTGCTATTTCCAAGAACAATAACTAAACAAAAGTTATTAAATCAAATCTGACTTAAGTGATTAAAGTGTAAATTATTTATTTTTGGTCTCTAGAAAAAAATCCATTATCAAACAGCGTGTGATAATTAACTTTCATACTACACAATTACCAAATTGTAAGATTTCATTAAAATTACGAAATGCACGTCTAGGACGATTGATTTAGACCTACCATTACTTTAAATATATAAGCGTTATTAAGGCAATTTATGTGTCATTTTTGAAAAATGGTAACATCATCGAGTACCGCTAGCAGCCAGAGCTACGTACGGAACAGTTTACGTATATTAAAAAGATAGAATAATAAGACAAATAAAAATATGAACCCAAAAATTTGATTGGCACGAACGATTTCGAAGAGAAAAATGGGAAATGACTTCAGTTTAAGTGTCCATTATAAGATTCGTCACTATAAATTTTTGTGATTGAGTTGTCCGTTGGTGGCAGGTGTGGGGCTGCTGGGCTTGCTTAGTATGGCCTGGTACATGGCCCATATGGCGAGGGGTCGCATGTAGGCGATGGACCGGTGGTTGCCGTTCTCGTACAGCGCCTCGGGAGTCTCGAAGGACAGGCCCATTTTCATCAGAGTGGAGTGAAGCCCGCCCGCCATTGCGAACGCTTGCTCGTGCATACCTGTTGATTACCATTTGTATTCCATTGTTTGTTCGTTTTAGTAATAAAACTTTTCTTACATTTATGCGAATACTTGATGTCTATACTAATAATCTCTGGATCTAGATTTAGATGAAATTTAGAAAGAAGATAGTTTGTGACCGTGGGAAGGACATAAGATACTTTTTATCCCGGAAATCATCCTTGAAAATTGGGATGAAAGTTTGTATGAGGAATCAACGCAGGGACGAAACCGAGCGAATCGAGGGTGATTCGCTTGTTAAATATACATCAATACACTTTAAATATTCCGTGTTTATAATATCAGTCTGTTATGACTCAGCACGTACCCTCGTATATCATGAGCGCGGCGAGCCCGTACACGACGCCGGTCCACACCTCCTCGCTCTGCAGCGCGGCGGTGTCGACGCCGGCGCCGCGCACGAAGCCGTTGACGGCGCCCATGCCGCCGCGGCAGAAGCGCAGCACGTTGTTGTCGTAGATGCTGTGCAGCGCCTTGCGCACGTTGGCGGCGGGGAACACCTGCTCCGTCCACCCGGACGCGCGGAGGAACCTGAGCATTCAAATTTTTCTTTACTAATATTTACTTTATAGTTGTATTTTTTTTTTCTAAATTGAAATTTTATTCAATTAGGCTTATTACAAGCATCTTGAATCGTCAATTTGAAGAGCATCCGTGTAGTCTGTCCATGAGGAAGCTACCACCGGCTCGGAAAGTAGTTCATCAGTTATAATATTTAATAAATATATAAATTATTTAAATTTCTCAAACGATTACCAATGACCGGCCAGCTGGTCTGCCATGATGACGTCACTATTAGACGGCTTTGTATCGAAGCGGTAGAAAGACCCATTCCATAGCTTCTTCTCGTACGAAGTCCGCGCTTGTTCTAGAAGCTTCGAAAACTCTTTTTCGTCGTCCTCGTGGCCCAGGATACGCGCCATTACCTTCACTGCACTTACTGCAGCCACCCATAAACCTCCACAATAGGCACTAAAATAAATTTTAAGTACTTAAAAAAACCTTTAAAGTCTTTAAAGAAAAAAATGAAAATTATATTTACTAGATAAAGTAAGTACCGATACAGTATATTTTTTAATCATATTTCCTTTTAAATAATTTTATTTTTTTGTCATGAATTTTTCTTTCCAATATAAAAAATATTATATATAAACTAAAATATGTACATAGACAAACCTGGGACCAGTCATAACCCATGCATCATAAGTCTGATCGGGGAAACCTCCATTTTCTATCAAACCATCGCCATCCTTATCCCACACCAAGGCACGCCGCAGTAGTGCAGAGCAGGACGGATACATGTCCATCAGATACTGCTTGGAGTCCCATACGGCGACCGCCGCTTCGCGCGGCTCGAGTTTCTCTTTGAACTCCTCCTCCTCGGCGCTGCGGTACAACAGGTCGAGTATGTCCTCGACCGCGTTGGGGCGCGGGCAGGCCACGGGCGACGGGTCGGCGGACGGGTCGGTGGACAGGTCGGCGGACAGGTCGGCGGTCGCGGCGGGCGACAGGTCGGCGGACGCGTCGGCCTGCCCCGTGGAGCGCGAGTACAGGTCGTCCTCGGTGCCATCGCGCACGTCGTCGATGAAAGCCATGGAGCGGTAGCGCTCGCCGCCGAAGGGCGCGTTGTGCGCGCGCAGCAGCCGGTGGTCGCGCATCACTTGCAGGATGAACTTCAGGTTCAAGTCCCGCCATTCAGACACGTCGTGTATGTTGTACGCGTTGATATTCGAAAACGGTATACCCTCTGTAATCGAATATTTTATATAAAAAAATATATTTTTTTATTTTATAAATTTATTAAATATAATTAATGTTGGTAAGCGCATCATTTAGGAATGGCTAAACCGATTTTTTTTGTTATTGTTTTTAAAAGTTCGATCGATGATTGAAGATAAAATTGAAAAATTGATCGAAAAATGGAGCGATTGGGAAGAAGCTGTACATACGTTTTTTTTAAATTGATACAACTTTCAGGTGGGAAGATAAGTTTTCTTATAAAATTTTAAATATTTAAGCTTAGGGGTAAGAAAAAATAATAACGTACCCGGGTCACCCAAATCATGTGGAATAGAATCTTTGATTTTGAATTTACAAGATTTTCCATCATACAATGATTGCCTAATTTTCGTTGTCTCCACTGCTATCGAATCACGGAACATGTACTGTAGCACCACCTATTGCAAAAATATATGTAGTAAAACATACGTACATATAGATAAATTTATATTTAAAAATATACAAAATATTGCAATTTACCTGTAAATTAGGCCAGAGCTGTGCGAGCGCAAAGGATGCATAAAAGTGTACGTCATACGTATTATACATACGGTACTCGTGCCCTTCCAAATACCCAAACACGCCGAATTCATGTCTAAAATATGAAAAGTTTAATTCAATAAAAGAGAAGTTTATTCAAACTAGTTTAAACAAAACTATCGGATTTTTTCTCGAAGTTTCGAACGACGATTACTGTAAAGCGTTCAAAACGAACCAAAAATAAAATAATTGTAAAAACTCAGTTTTTAAAACAAGCTTTTATGTAAATGATCTAAAAAGAAGAAAATAAACTTTAAGTTAAATCAAACCCAACAATTTACTACGTTAGGTACACAATTTATATGATATAAAAGTTTGTCGCGAGATTTACCTATTTTATAAAAAAACATTATTTTTGAACATTTTCTTTATTGTTTTTTTTTTCACAGATAAATCTCGCGACAAATGTTAAAGCTATTTTTACAACAACAAATGTGCCAACTGTCAGAAATCAAAATAACATTAATTAAAGTCAGATAAGGCGTTTAGTTGCTTTATCGACGACACGACTGGCTCAGTTTGTAGTGATCTTACTTACGTACTTCCTTCCTAAACCAGCGGTCGCGGATTCGAGTCTCGCTGGGGGCATTCATTTGTGAGATGAGCACGAATGTTTGTACTGCAGTCATGTGTGTTTATATTTATAATAGTCTTGTAGCTTACCATGGAACTAGATGGTGCTGTGTGTTAATGTCCCAAAATATTTATTATTATTTATTTATTTATCGGCTCACTTACCGAGGATCCGTCTCGGGGTATTCGTCGGACACGTCGAACCAGATGGTGCCGCCGTCCGCGATGAAGTAAAGCTCGTTCATTAAGGCACTTTTTAACCATTCTGGAATATTGCTGTAGAACAATAAAAAATACTATTATTTAATATTAAATACGTACGTGAATAAACGGACTGCAAAATATCTTTTATTTTTAAAATGGGCTCCTTATAAATTAAAGAGCGAAGATTAGCGTTACAAATATGCAGTAATTTTAATGTTATAAAAACACCGGTCAAGTGCGACCTGTCTCTCACAAGAAGGGTACCTATAATCGTTTTTTTTTAATATTTTTCGTGGCGGCTATTTACAAATTAGTAATCTTGTTCTTTTATTATTTGTTGTTATAGTGCCAATAGAAAAACACACTCTGTTAAAGTTTCATCTCTCTATATATTGGCTTAGTTATAGAGCCCCGTTGGCACATTTCGGGTACGGAACCCTAAAAATACAGAATTAAGATAACATGGTCTAATCATTTAGATTTCATATTTTACATAGATTAAGTTGTATGTTAGATTAGGTATTTTATTGTTCTTACATTGTTATAAGCCTTTTTTTAACCAGGTTTTGGAAAGGTTTATTATTGAATTGCTAGCTAATTCGAAATTACCTGTTAGTTAGTATAGGATCTTGCCATTCGGCAAGTTGTTTCTCCCAGTTATTATAATTCCTGAGTGCGTACGCCGCTATACTGGCACCCGCAATACCGTCGCTGCCGAAATACTTTGTATAATATCTGAAAAGAAGCAATTTCTTATTTGTTTCAAGGAACACTATATATATAAATTATTTTCTATATTATTAATAAGTAGGCAATATTATGTTATTTTTGACGTGAAACGTCGTTAAAACCAAGTCAGAAAAGTGGACCATTCGAAACATATGTACATATTAGGTTGCCATAGTAACCGTTGTTATCTGAAAAATTATATACATATTTTTTTATTATATTCTTTTCGTTGCTATCTTCGAAGGTTACTATTTCTACTAATTTGTCTTCAAATATACAAAATATTTATAACTAGCGGCTTAGTATTTAGAACTATAAACGCCATTCTCGCTCCTTTCTATTCAGTGTAACTCACGATTCACACGTCCTTGTAGAATTTATTCCGACCGATCGATTTGATCGATAGAAAAGAATAACGAAGAAGTGTAAAAAAAATATAAAGATGGGTGCGTGTAACCTTTACGCGCGGTTGAAGTAAAACATCTTTGGCAAATATCGCAATTAAATTAAAACAAATCAATAATTAAATAAGGCATATTACAATCATATGTTTATAGAATATCATATACGGAAATAATATAATATATTTGTTAGACAATGACAACGATTACCATGGCAAAATGGCTACGTATTCTATCTCATTCTCTCGCCGGCTTAGTCCTATATATTTAAGTGTTTGTCTCTTTTTAGTGTCACATTTTCGTTTCATCGAGTTTCAAATCACAACGATTCTAAAGAAGTTTCACTTCAAAAATTCAATAAGTCGGGCCTCAGCTCGTGCTGTAGATAGACGTTTTATGTTAAACCAATAGCGGTGTGCCCCGGCACAGCCCCACCCGATTATTTATTTATAATTTTCTATAAATTAAGCTAGCAGTAAAAGAGTTATCTCTATAAAATCATCATCAATCATAAAATATATAGAATTCAGATCAATAAATATATTACTATCTAAACTACTTCATATACAAATGTATTTATCTATTACAAAAGAGATAAGAGATACAAGTGTTGAATAACTAAGTGAATAAAAGATAAATATCTACACAATATTAGTTTTATGTTTAAAATGAGCATACCTTTTATGTATTTTACAATCTTTTTTATATTTTATGACAGGCATATCCCAAACAAGACAAAACTCCGTAGAGCCGCATCCTCCGGGATCTAATGATATTGAGCTTGATAATCCAATAGAGTCGTCTGTAAACAAAAGTAAATAAATATCTATGATTATTATAGAATAATTGTAATACAATAGGTACGTAAAATAGTTTCTAAGATAAAGGGCCATTTATTCAATAATTAATTGTAGCTTTAAATAACAAAAACACATGTTTAACTGTAACATAAGGGACTCGACAAATTCAAATAAAACATTCAATTTCTATTCAAATTTTTAACTTGATTGATACATTGATTGATTAATTTTTTCTTTCACTATCCACCTGCTAGCTCTATTAACGGATTATTTTGATGGTATCAAATTATCGTATTGTCATTATTTTAATTAATTTAATCAAATAAAGTATGGTAGATTAAAATTTATTCCTAAGATTTATTTCACATCTTTTTTTGTCAGGTTTAAATAACTTGTGTTAACAAGTTTAAATAATTTATGTGATACCATCGATCAAAAAACTACAAGATACACAATCCCATGCAAAAGTTCTCTCTTAAAACTGTCACCAAATGTGTTTAGGTAATTATTCTACATATACAACCAAAGTAAAGTGAGTAATACGCTTACTTTTGTAGATTTTCTTTGGTTTTTCTTTATCATCATTTTTGCTATCCGATTTATCAGCTACTTTGGGCGGCGACGGCGCTTGGTTCGGGTCAGGCTCCAACTTCCCGTGTTTTTTCAAACACTCCCACACGTATTCGGATGTTTTCGTAGAGTTCCATAGACAATAGCCCTCGTGTATAGTTTCATTTTCTTGTTTCTTTTTAGCTATTGTAAATGTACAAGGCTGGTCCGCCACTTTTTGCTCTAATGTTACCCCGCATGTGTTCTCTTCAGAATATCTCTCTAGATCTAATTTGCCTAAAATGTAATTAGTTTTTAATAAATAGTATAAAGTAATAAATTTGACGACACATTTGGCTCAGTTTGTAGTGACCCTACTTGCTGTGCCAACGGTCGCAGGTTCGAGTCCCCCTGGGGGCTGTCATTTGTGTGATGAGCATGAATGTATGTACTCCAGTCATAGGTGTTTATATTTATAATATGTATGTATTTAAAGTTTATATGTGTATTGGTTCAACTATCTGGTATCCAATAACACAAGCCTCGTAGCTTACCATGGAACTAGATGGTGCTGTGTGTTAATGTCCCAACATTAAATTAAATGAATAATTGTCTCATTGGTCGGGTAAATAGAATGTGGGCTGCAATTCCTAAAGTCCTGGGTTCGAGTCTTAGGCCAAGATTAGTAATTGCGTTTTTATATTAGAAGTCAACGAAAAAAAGTTAGCAATGACGCATTTCCGTGTCTCAGAGTTCTTAAAGGCCTCGGTCGTAAAGTGCAAATAGAATAAATAGTGCGCTTGTGTGTGTATTATATTTCCTACGCAGACACTGTCTACACTCAGATTGAACGTCCTTGTCAATAATGTTTCATATCCTGTGCGAAGTGAAGTTATAAACTCTTTGTGGAAAGTGAGGAAACAGAGAGTAGGTATCATATTATCAATTCATTAAAGCCTAGAACAAATCTGAATCTGAAATTTTTTTGAATTTGACAGCCAAATTGTTTGAATTTCGACCCTAAGGGAGTGAAAAGCAATTGTAAAGTTTATATGAGAAAAATACCCGGAAAAGGACGGAGCGTGTTGCTAGTAATTTATACGACTGATAAAATCTCAGAACTCATAATCTTTTTTTTATATCAATAATGCAAAATACTATAACCTTCTTTTTATATAAATGAAACGAGTTCAAAAGAGCAACTGTTGCGTTTGTTGTAGGATCTTCTCAATAGATTTGCATTCTACTTACTTGTTTTAAAATAATTGAGTTAACGATTTAAATGCGATTTTCCAAAAAGCTAATTATAAATGTGTAAGTTTTAAAAAATAATTTTCTTTTATTACTGTATTAACTATGACTTACAAGCAATTTTTTAACATCGTAATATTACTTTTAGTTACATAAATTACGATGTAAGTAATCAGTGACAAAACAAATAATCTCACACCTGCACAAATTAACATCTTTCATTTATCTACATAATGAGTCGATTATATTAAATAATAATTACGTCAAAACAAACTCTATCTCGCTCAACATAAGTGCTATATTCAATTGCAATAACACTGGAAATCTCGTGTCGATTTGGTAATACAAATAATTTGATAATATTAGCACTAAGTGTGTGAATTACCTAAAATTAGTTTAGTGTTATATTTTCGTTATCGAATACCGGCTTAAACACACTGCATTGTGTATCCAAGTTGGTAACATGCCAATTTTTTAGGTTTTATTTTTGAATGTAAGAAATAAACAGAATTTACAAATTACAGGATTCTTTAAAATTTGAAATTATTGTTGATGATAAAAAAACAGTACAAGTCTAAAAAAATTTTTTTGTTGTTGTATTTATGTTAAATGTAGATAATATCGAGGCAGCTTTTTATTAACTGGGTTTTAATTGTATCCATTTTTAAATATTAGGTATTTAAAGCTACGAGCTGATCTACTTGCATGAAATAAAATAAATACCTATTATGAAAAGTACATGTAATAAATTTACCCATATGGATATCGTTTTTGAATTTTAGGTTAGGACTGAACATATATATACGTAGGTATTATATTATTATATATATTCAAAATTTCTTAATAAAATTATAAATACTAAAGTGTGTTTATTGATTGATTTTGATAAAGAATTTTTTTTTTGTTCCAGTGTTGTATTCGAACAAAAAAATGTGGTTCCCATGGAATAGACAACAGAATATTATTGAAAAAATTACTTATGATGATACTTCGTAATTATGTATAAATGTCTGGTCAAAATAGTAAACCATCAACTGCTCAGACATGGTACTTAGGAATTGATAAGATGTATGTAGGTAAGATTAGTTAAAAATAAACATTCTGAAAAATATGGTATAGGTATAGGTATATATTGTTTGTAGATATTTGAATGTTTATTACCTTCAAATTAAATAAAAAATTAATTATGAAAATGTCATATTGTATGAAATATTTCCATTTTTAGTTACCTATAGATTTTTTTTTGTTAGGTTCTCCTAAGACCTCAGTCCATGTGAATGTAATGCTAACATCTCGATGCTCGTTGCTAACATTCTTGGCAGAAAATACAAACACAGCACAGGGCAAACTACTATCCTACAAAAGAAAGAAACTAACTCAAAATACAGCATAAAAATGTTACAATACATATATGTTTATAGTGTTCTAAATTATTTTCACTATGGAGTATAGCAAAAGTTACATTTAAAAAAACACACACATGCAAATTGAGAACCTATTTACATTTTTAAAAAGATAAAAAAGAAACTTTAAATAAACAACTCCTCTCATACACTCAACCCCACCACATATTCTTATAAAAATAAACTTGACTCATTCTTGTACAGAGAGCATCAGCCACTTATTTTAAAAAACTTTTGTCCTTTAGTTATTTGTGATAAAATCTATTCACAATAAATTGTTACATATTTATAAAGATTGTTTCTAGTATTAGAAAAGTAAAGTAAAGATATAGTAATAATATGTACATATAAAAAACAATTGATAAGATATTAATAATCTGTGAAAAGGTCAACTTCTATGCTTATTTTTAGTTCCTTTAAAGAGTTTATGCACCATGTTTAATTTGCTACATATATGTTTGTGTTACATATGTATACAAAGTGTACCAAGTTGGTACTTGGTACATACTAAATAGAAATAGTAATAGCTCATGATTACCTTATAATTATGTGGTATCACTGGTGATATTTGTCGACAAACTAACTTAATTCCATATTTAGTAAGATCATAAGTAGTCCAAGCTCTAGGATACAAAGCTGTATATTCACAATCAGCACCATTAATTTTCCATTCCCATGACTGTGGTGATTTTTTTGTTTTGCTATGATAATAAAAATCTATATGTAAATAAGAAAAGACAACACAGTTCTGTATCTTTTTCTATTTAGTAGCTATTGATGAGCTCATCATTATTATTTAGTTATTTATCTAAGATATATACTCACTTATATGTAGATAGTACAGATTGGAAAATGGTTTCTTTTTTAGCATCCCTAATATTTACAATAAACTGACATTCTGGTACTGTGACATATTCGTAAATGCCAGGATAAAGTTGGAAACGGCAAAATTCACCTTTGAAGCCCCTCCCGATTGTTCCACCCCCAATACCACCTATAGGACAACCTTTAAAAAAAATGCTTTTATTATTAAAATGCATAATATCAAAACAATATGAATTTTTAATAAGATAAACATATCAGAAATGCATACCATACATTCTTTGAGCTGATATCATATGAATATAATCCATGATTGGTTTTCTTTTTTGAATTTTTCTTGCTAAATAATACTTGATATATCTGCAACAATATATAATGTATCAAATATACAATATTTTGATTATAACTGCCTCGGTGGTGTAGTGACTAGCATGTACGGCTGCACACCCGCAGGTCCTGGGTTCGAGTCCCGGGTTGGGCCAAGTTTAGTTATTGAGTCTTTCTGTATAGTAAGCCTCAGTAGCAGCCCGGAGTTGGGAAGTTGGCGATGTTTCACCCCCGTGCCTCGGAGAGCACGTAAAGCCGTCGGTCCTGCGCCTTAACTGTCACTGGTCGTGTCGAGCAGTCGTCTCACCAGTGTATGAGAGTGACAAGAATAGAGAGTGCCCTTGTGTCGCGCGTACACTTGTGCACTATAATATCTCCTGTGCAGTTGGCTAATCTCAATGAGATTGGCCGCCATGGCCGGAATCGGTCAGTAGAACATCATCATTTTGATTTTATTGTTACAAAAATTAATTCATATTCCACCACATACAAGTTGAATTGAACAATACAAACCTAGTTGTAAGGGGCATCATTTCAAGAATTTGTTTCGGTCTAGGTATAATTAGTTGTTTGCTTTTAAGTGGAAATTCATGATTTAAATGGAATTTAAGTCCATATTCTGATGGAACATCCAACTCAATTAGATGATCACCTATTGCTTCAGTTTCCATTATTTATATTTAATATTATATTTCAATAAAAAATGTAGATTTAACACCTCAGATTGTAGAATAAGCTTAAGCTTACTCTCATAGAGATAACTTGTATAACTGAAAAATGATAATATTCACTATGCAATTATCACACAGGAGATGCAGATTAATAATACAGGTTTTTTTTATCGTATCAATTTCCAATAATGAGAATAAAGTTTATGTATTATTATCATATTCAATATAGCCGACACATATCGCAACCCGTAAGAATTCAGATTTCCTAATGAAGCGAAAACGACTTCAATGTATAATGAAAAGTGAAAACTGAAAAATATCAATTGTCAATTCTTTACGTCGAGTATGACATTGACTTTCAATCTGTCACTGACAAATAGACTATACAAGTAACTTAAAAGTATGTAGATAAATAATTTGGTCTTGCATTTGACTAAATGATCAATTAAATAAATATTTTCAGTTCTGTCACCTTTCTGTTAGCATTGAAAAATGTCTAAAAATAGTTTATTAATTTATTTTCATATATAAAAAAATGACCTGCTTTCCAATTAGAGCACTAAAGTGCATTGTGCGGCATAATGCTAACTTCGAATACTTTAACTACAGCAACGCTCCATACAATCAAGCATTTTAAAAAGTACTGCTTAGTGCTTTGGCGTGATGCATGCAAGGAAACCAACTAAGCAGCAGAAAATATAAGAAATATTTTTTCATCAAGGTGGCATTGATCAAAATTTTATTTACGTTATCGTTACTAATATTTGTTTATATTTTATTTATATATTATATTTTTATTAGTTATATATTATTATATATTTGAGTTAATTTTTTTCTTTTAACACTGAAACTAGTGCCCTCTGCTGGTGCATTTGAAAACTAATTCCCGTTCCAATTAAGCATTAGCACACTTCTGCATTGTGCGCCAAAGTACGGCATTATGCTTGTGTCAACAAAATTATTGTTACCCACGTAACGTCCGGGCACCTCCATTAAATGTTCAAATATCAGACAAGAGCAAGTCACTTAGGTTTTTGTATAGCAATAGGCCTTAGGTTTTTGTATAGCAATAGATTTTCCATTTAAATAAAATTTAAAATTATTTATTTTGTTTTATTTCAATATTTTACTTATTACAAATCTGTACAAATATTATAATCTCTATAAATATTATAAATGTGAAAGTTTGTGAGTATGTATGGATGTTTGTTACTCTTTATCGCCAGAACGGCTGAACGGATCTAGGTGAATTTTGGCACAGAGATATATTATAGCCTTTTTATCCTGAAAAAATGAACAGATCCCGTGGGATAGGTTTGTTTTTGTTTTCCTAGAGGTGTACCCGAGCGAAGCGAGAGTGTAGTGTTATCTATAGTTTAATACGTTTGTTTTTATTGTCTGCATATAGATTTTAGATTTTAGTCTGTGGTTTTTGTTGTCAAATAACAAATTATCTTAGTTGTCAATTGTCATCCATGTTATCTTATTTCTTCATGAATAGAAATACGTAAAAAATATTATTGTACTTACGTTTACAGCTCAACAAAAATGTCTATTATTATTTTTAACGGGCATTTAAATTTAATAACATAATCATAATTTTAACGAAATGTCATATTTACGACAGGAGTAACATTTTAAAGGAAAAAGCAAACTTTATTACCTAAATATTAATTTAATTTGTGTGTATTGTGTGGTGAATTAACATAAGGTTATAAAATGGATATCCCAGTACAGATAGCTATTCGACTTAAACCACCAAGCATAGCTGATTCTCTACAATGTATATTTAGTAACCCAGTAACACAAATTGTGATTACGGAAAGTGGTCAAACTTTTCATGTGAATAGAGCTTTGCCTGGGGATTGCACACAGGCCCATCTTTTTAATTCATTTATGATACCTCAAATTAACTGTTTCTTAGATGGATGTGATACCTCAGTTGTTGTGTTTGGCCAAACAAAATCTGGTAAAACCTATACATTATTTGGTCCAGGTAAATACATGTGTATATTTTAAATAGGGTTAATTGAAGTTTAAAACAGTTGAAACTGCTCTATACTGCGAAGTATTATAAAGATAAATATTTTGTTTCAGGTTTTGAATGCATACATAGTGAATGTGACCAAGGAATAGTTCCACGGTTTCTAACAGAAATATTTCATAGACTAGGCCAAATGCCTGAGCGAGAATATATCTTACATATAACATGGATGCAAGTTGTAAATAATAATATTTTTGATGTATTAGGAGCAGGCTTAGTAAGATGCTCCAATGTAGAGGAAGCTTTTCAATATTTACAATTAGGATGGAGACAAAGATGCTTAGGAAATAACCATACAGTTTTTACTGTTAGTATGGAACAAAAATGGGTTGGAACAAATGGTGTTCTAAATCATAGAATGTCTACTGCTAGCTTTTGTGATTTAGCTGCATATCCTGAACCTGGACTATTTGCATTAGAAAATATAATAAGAGAACTAGTAGCTGGTAACCCACCAAAACAAATAAATTATGATCAGTGTATATTAACAGCCATGCTAAGAGACTCATTTGGTGGTAGAGCATTTACCTGGGTAATAGGTTGTATAAGCACAGAGCCCGATGACTATCAAGACACTTTGAAAATTCTCAATTTGTCTTTATGTTGTAGAGGAATTAAAAATTTTGTAACTGTAAATTTATTTGCTGATAATAATACTCCCGTGTACACAGAAAAAGCTGCAATACCAGCAGAGAATGCATTTAATCTCCAATTCGCAACCACACAGTGGGTAAAGCTAGTATCAAATGCAGAAGGACTATTTAACAAAATTCTACAGTCAAAATCCTTATCTGAAGCAGATATGAATCAAGTTAGTGAATGGTTGTTCCTTAAGGCTGAATGCGATGAATGTTTAAATAGTGATATAACAGTTGATAATAAGGAAACAAATGCAAAACAAGGTTTGCCAAGAATAGCAGAAGATACTGAACCAAGTGAACCCAGTGAGTCTGATGTGGAATCAGACTCTGAAGATAGTGATTCAGAAACAGTATTTCAGGATAAATTAGAAAAATTTATGGAATATTTTAGGGAAAAAAATGATCAGTTATTTGCTGACAGGTGTGAGGAGTATTTGAATCATATTGATTCAGATGATATCACTATATCTGAAACGAGTGGTTCACAATCTTTACCAGTAATGACATCCCAGTCTAATTCTGGAAGACGGAGAACAATTCAACCTGGGGAAAGTATTTCAGGAGCTCAACTAGAATTATTAAGGAAAGTGGCAGCTAAAGCAATATCACCAGAATCTCAGAAAATAATAATAGAATCTCATAAAAAAGATATAGATCCTGAACCAAAGTTGATAGAAAGAGAGTTATTAAAAATGATAGATTCTCCAAAGACAAATGAAATTTGTAAAAGATATAAAATGACTAAGGAAAAATATACACAAAAACAAATTCTTGCGAGAAAGCTATCTAAAGAGATAAGTAGTAGTCAAACACAGTTAAAGGAGCTTATAAATCTCTGCATAGCTAAAAAAAGACTTATAGATGATTTATCTAGAAGTATTTCTTATAACAGCAAAAAGTACTCAGAAAAAATGGAATCAAGTTTAGTTGATCAAGATGCTGTAAAGGAAATGAAGAGGCATGAAACAAACTTAAAAACATACAAAAAACAAATAGACCAAATAAAAAGACAAATAAAAAAGGATGAAAAACGTAAGAATACTTTAGATGTAGAACTTCTTAAAGACAAACTTAAATTAGATGAACTTTCTGAGTCTTCTGTTGACATGAAGGATAAAAAATCTCATTCAATAAAACATTTTACTCATAGGATAACACAGTTAGATAGTATTTTAAAGGAAAAGACTAGTGATTTAGCTAATTTAGAATTATCGAAAGAGAAAGAGCTGATGTTGCGGAAGGAGATTAAAAATTTGAGAAAAACAAGAGAATGTTTACACGAGCAACGTTGTAGTTTAGGGCACAAACGCAAAATGTACAAATCACTATCAGATTCTGAGGTGAGAATAAAATCTGTACCTAAACAAATATACATTCAATTTTCATAACAAATAATATCATTTAAACAATATATTAAAATGTATATAAAATTTAATAAATAATATTAATATTTTAAATAAAACTATCTTTTCCGATTCATCTTTCATTCATCAGACTGTCTGTAACAAGTATGTGTTTGAGATGTCTATAACCTTAGTCTCTCCCATGACCATGATTGCTGTAAAGCATTCGAAACGTTGGGAACCAAAAATCAAAATAAATCTGTGAAATAATCCAAAAAGATAGTTTTATTTAAAATGTCAAATATTTGCGTTAATCTAAGAAAGTATTAATAATAATATTCTGTATTAATTTAATGTTTAAAAATAGTAACAAATAAGCCTGTTACTGTTGAGTAAATACTATAACTTAAAAAAAACTATTGTTTCTTCTGAAAAGAGAAATTAATAAAACCTAATTACCCGCAATACATTGTGTAATTAAATAAATAAAAATTAATTCAACTTTCAGGAGCGCAAGTTATTGGAATGTGAAGAAGCTATAGAAGCAATAGATACAGCAATAGAATATAAGAACAATTTAATATGCGGTAAATCACCGTCTGCCTCATTGTCCGACTCGCAAGATAACAAGGAGTTTAGAAGTCGCGGCGAACAAATGTTAATGGCCAGGCTCGATAAATTGTCTCACGATGAAATAAAGACCTTACTCTATAGATATTTCCAAAAGGTATATCCTAAATTATTATTTAATATGTTTAAGGCGTCATCGGTCGTAAACTTCATTAGAGATAAGTAAACGCATCTTCCGCCAATTTAAAGAAAAGTAATAATAAGAAAATATGATAATAACAATTTAATATTTGTTGTTTTAAATGCAATAAAAATATATACTATATAAATAATATTCAAAACATTGATTAAGTAAAATCGACAACGAGAACTACTGCACACGGTAGGTGGGGCTGCAATCGGGTTGTAGGATATTTGGCGCAAATGTTATTTTTTAGGATTTTTTGCATACCCCCTATAATTTCATCAAAATCGGCCCAGCGCAGTAGAGTTACGCAGAATATGAGCTTAACCGAATACGGTTACCTAAATCTAATATTCGTATTGTTAATGTCCCTAATCTAATATTCGGTTGTATTATTCGGTTAATTTTTGTATAGCTAGGAAGTTCATAAACCCCCCCAACATGCGTTCACGGTGACGTTGTAGGAGGTAATCTCAAAATTTACTGAACCGATTTAGATGAAATTTTGGTAAGAAGATAGTTTGAGACCCTGGGAAGGACAAAGGAGGCTTTTTATGAAAGTAGATGAAAGTTTGTATTGGAAAGCAAGCGAGGGACGAACCCGAGCGAAGCGATGGTGAGTCGCTATCTCTAATATTTAGTATGACGTTGCACATGCACGATGCAGGTGGTGGACCTGCGCGGCGCGTGCGCGGCGCTGGAGGCGGGCGCGGCGGCGGCGGCGGAGGAGGCGGCGGCGTGGCGCGCGCGCGCCGCGGCCGCCTGGCGCCACGCGCACGGCGCGCAGCGGCGGCCGCCCGCGCACTACAGGTACTTACCTGCCCGGTGCCTGTCTTAAATCAATCTATACAGATAAATAAAATTGAAGTGTCTGTTTGTAATGTCAAAATAACAGCGTTTTATTAAATACATATAAAATTATATATGGTACTTATAAGAAAAACACTTTTTTTTTTATTTTGTCTGTCTGTTTGTTCCGGATAATATATGGAATGGACTGGACTGATTTTTACGGGACTTTTACTGGAAGATAGCTGGTCTAGAAGTCATAAGAAGTAACAAAGGCTACTTTTATTTTAGAAAAAGGATTAGGGTCAGGTCAAAAAAAATTAAAACGTACCTAGGGACGAGCATATGAAGGTAACAATATTACCTTCGATCAACAATACTACTAGATATCGGGTCGGCGTAAGAAATCCGTCTCGGTAAATATAAGCTCACTTGTGAGCGCAGAAAAGCACAAAGTGAGCGTTTATTTCGATTAGTTCTATTGAAACACTGCCAGCGTAAATACGTTCACAATGCCGCAATATTTATTTAAAAGTTACAAAAATAATGCACGAATAAGAAATTTTTCAGACGGAGTGTCTTATTTTCGGTAAATACATGAAGATTAAGTCAATATTTAAAGATTTAACTTACGAAATAATATAAAAATGAAATTTTGAACAATTTTAAATCCGCTAAGAACGTTGGCCCAGGTCGGCCAATATATGCGCCAATACAAAAAAGCTTAAGCTCACAAAGCAAGAACGGGAAAAAGTGCTTTATGGTTTTGGATATAAGGTTGATTTTACAATAAAGATGATAAAACTTACGAAATGATCGTGTGTATGATGATAATTTGAAAATTTGTGACTTTATTACAAGGTGCTATGGTGTTGATTAGGTTGAAAATAAAACTATCATAATATAAGACTTTGTCTTGGTTCGTTAGTAAACAAATGTTGGTGTATAACTACGTATTCGCGCGGACAGAATTTAGCTTTGATTTTGTATGTAACACGTTATCTAGTAGTATTGTTGATCGAAGAATATTACCTGTTAGGCCTAGTTTATATTGTGGCGTTTATTAGACCTATATAGTTTAGTTTTATTCGTTAGCTTACATGTGACGCTTAACTACCTCAATGACATTGAGTAAAATGAATTTCACGTATAAATCTTTCTTATAGCGCTTACTTAAATTGATTTAAAAAACTATAATATTGTGTTCGGATAAACTTCCGAATAGCTCGTACCTCCGATTAATCTGAATTATGGTATGCATATGGATTTCGACGCGCTGATAAAAACCATATCTAATTATCCACAAATTTTATTTTTAAGGTCATATCTTAGAAAAATCGATTTAGTTTTCGCATTTGTGATAAATATTGATTTTAGAGAAAAATATTTTCTCTAAAATTATTGTACGTAAATAATTCATCATGTAAAATGTGACACTTTTTCCTGTTTCGATCTGCGATCAGTAAATCTCAATTATCATCAAGATGAAACGTGTCGCTAAAGTGTATTGGCTCAGAGGTGCTCTTTAATTTGTATATTTGTTGAAGAATTCGTGAAAAAAATATGCTTAAAATATATTTCGTGGCTATTTACATAATTTTCGCGCATTATTGCTTAATAAATGGAAAACGTCACACTAGTCGCTCTTGTTAAATATTCACAATTAGAGTTGGCCGTTTCCTATAAAACGTTGATGAAGAACGATGCCACTAACCGATGCCGGCATCCGTTGCTGGAATAACGATATAACGTTGCCCGCACCAACAACGACATTTGACAACTCAGTCACGAGTCACGCTGCACGCACGATGAATTCAATCGTTTCCATTCGTTTCGTTTTTTATATAAATATAGACCTATTTTATTTTGTATCCCATTACATTATTTAAATTATCTCAACACGTAGGTACCTACATGCATAACAAATAACATTTGTAATTTATATGTAGGTAAGTATAATTGCCAAAAACAATTGTATGTAGTAAATTCATAATTCATTTAATTGCTTAGGTATTAGAAGTAAAAATAATTAAACTAGTTTATAATAACATCTATTTTTTTATCATAACAATGTAATATTATCTACACTAAACAACATCGCATCATATACCGTTACTCGTTTACTAACTAAAGTTGTCGTTACATCGCCCGACAACGGTCGGCATTCACAACGCTATCGAGCGGCAACTAAAAAGGGTGACATAATCTATGCCGGCAACGGATGACATTTACGGGAAAACGTTGCTCACCGATGACGTAAAAAAACGAAAACGCCCATTACTATTCACACTTAGTGTCTCTTGTCTCTTGTCAAATATCCACCAACCGCATAATTTATTTTATTTGAGTATACCAGCTATGCTTCAATATATTCAAAAATATTTCATTTTGTTTTATTTACTATAAATTTAAAAGTATTTAAACATTGTAGATATATATATTATTTTGAATTCGCTCAAAAAATAATATGAAAATTTATTTTCTGTTTTGTAATAATATCCTGTCATTTTTAGATGTTTAGGCGGCGTTAACATCGACAGAGCTCTTTCATTGGGATTGACGACTGACTCAGAGACGTCTGACGATGCCATGCGTCTGGTCGATAAAGTCAGGCAGCTCGCGAGATATCCACCGGTAAGCTAAATATAATATTAATATTCTTTATACACCATAAAAGAAACATAAAAACAGAAAAAATAAAGATGCACAACAGATCTGATCTTATAAGGCCGCCTTATCGCGGGAAGCCATCTCTTCCACGCAACCTTGAGGTGGTGGAATAAGTTTTCATAAAGGGCGGGGTACACTGTACATGCTTTGACACGTTTACACATATATAATATAATACTCAATTACTTAAATATTTTTCGTATTTGTATTGTTCACTAAATAGACACCAATAAAACATACAAAATTGAGGTAAAGACACTCATTAGTCACTCGACGGTAGGACAAAACTAATTTTACAGTTAATTGAAAACGAATCGGATTTTGATCGGTTTTTCTGGGCTAAAATAGCGTTCTATTGAAGAAACCTGAATCTTGTTTTTTGTTTTGGATCTGAATTTTGGTTTTAAAAAAGTCACCTACCCAATTGTATATCTACACCACCTACATTGACACTGTAAATTTGAAATTATTTGCAATAATATAAAATATTTAATTAAAATATTTACTTAAAATCAACTTTTGCCTACAGACGCCAGTTATTCCGAGTCAAAACTTAAGGCAACTCATGCCGGCCACGAATCTGCCGGTGGCCAAAGTCACGAAGGAGAAGAACAAACTGGTGATAGTGCAGCAGAACAAGAAAAACTGATATACGGAGATCTTTTTATTTTTGCCGCTCAATATCATTTTTGTACTCTTAATTTATTTATTTTTACGTTTAGCGTTTCGATTTTTTGTACTTGACATTATTTTCGTGCATTCGAATTATTTTAAGTATTCATAAATGTGGGATCTCTTTTTTTTTGTTTTAGGAATAAATAAGTCTTGAAGATCGCTCAGATCATAGAAAGGTAAAATATAATTTTAGCAGCAACATAAATTTCGTCAATTTTAACTACATATTATAAATTAATTAACCTTCGGCAGGCAACACTTGCATAAATGGCAACAGGGGCGACGCATCATCCCATATTTTTTTAAATCAATAAAACGGCAATGTGTAAGATAATCATATTTACTATGAGATTAATCGCATATATAATTAAAAATAAGAAAATAGTGTTGATTATTATGGCGCCTATAATTTTGTATTATTTAAATACAGTTTAAGCAAATATCTCTACGTTGTTCAGGGAAAGAGGGCAGAAGGCATTTTGTGTTAAAAGTTTTTTACCCCGTTTGGACAAAATGTACATTTTGCTTGTTTCTGCAACTTTACAGAGCTCACCTTCAGGAGGGTCCTGGTTTATATTAAGAATATCACGTAAACTCCTAATTCTCGCGGCAAATTTGTATCGCAATATTGCCATAAAATTGTTTTGTCATATTTGAAATTGAGGCCACAATTTAAATTCAAACATATATTTTTTCATTTTTACTTTAAATCATTTATTTCAGTATCACAAATACAATTAAACTTACGTAAAAAGTAAGAGGTGATGAGTCACCCCAGTAATGTCAATATAATAAAAACACTGCGTCTGATTGCATTCACTCTTGTTAGAGAATAGATCGAGTGTTAGAAAGAGACAAAAACAACACCAAGAAAACATTGATATTTTTTTCGAGTAGTGCGGTGACGGGTCACACTGGTTGCCTTCCTAAAGTTAAATAAAATCAAACCGAATTAAAAAATATTGAAACTATTGAAACTGAAGTTCTTAAATTATTATTCTGAACAAATAAATTAATAAAAAAATTAATACTGATCTCATTCACTGCGTTCAAAATGACTTTTTTATAATATAATTAAGCATGAGTAATGAAAACGTTAGCAAAATTCAATGTCTCTTTAAAACTTTTCCGTATAGATAATGTATGTAGCCCTTTTTAATGTCCCACTGCTGGGCACGGGCCTTAACTCAATACGAGAGGGACCAGGCCATAGCCCACCACGCTGGCCAAGCGGGTTGACGGACTTCACATGTCTTTCGAAAACTTGCTAAGTTTTCTTCGATATACAAGTTTCCTCACGATGTTTTTCCTTCACCCTTAAGACAAGTGGTAATCGTGTTGGAAATGAGTCGCACATGAATATATGTAACAGAGGTGCAGAACCCGGGATATGAATCCGCTTCACTCCGTTTCCCAAGCGAGCGCGTTACCACTGCCCGTATAGATATAAGAATTGGGAATAAAAATTCAATGTAAATGACAAGGTTTAGAATAAACCCTTTTATTATATAATATAAAATAATGTTGGTAAGAATGTTGTAATTCTTAACCAATCAGAGATACAATCCTACTTACAATTGTTGTAAATGAAAAAATAACTTCATTATAAAATTGTTTATTTTACAGAAAATAAAAGTTCATTTAGAGACAATACCGAATACATCGAACATTATAAATATTTACAGCCACAATAGCTAATATTCAAATTTTGTATATAAGAAATTAATATTGTTCATTTTTTCTATTTAGAAAGCTAGTTGTTATATATGGCACTACATTTACTGTTATAATGTAAGAAAAAATTATATTGTATCTGTGGCATTTTTACTAGGGACTTATTAGGAAATGTTATATTATAAAATAAGCCAATAGACTGATTAACATATACTGATGAAGTGATTGTTATTTTTTACGGTATTAACACTATTATACATCACATTCACTAAGCTACAATTTCACTTATTATAATAATTCGATTCTAAAAATTCATAGATATGTGTAGGTATTATATAAATATTTTTATTCTGTCAATAAAGTCATGTTATAACTATATGTTTATTGTTTCATTTAGGAGAATTGGCTTCATTCGAAATTCCAGGGTATACACAACACACCTTCCGACAACACGGAATAATAATGAGTCACGCATAGAATGTTGCCTCGTAATTTCTGAAAAATAAAATGATATGATCATTCATGTCTGTATTATGCATGACAGTTAATTATTTATTTAAAAAAAAAGTGTAGTGAATGATCACATAATTGACCGAGCGTGCGAAGGGTCTCTGCTTCAAGTCTTGCAAAATTTGCTCTCCTCTGTCAGTTTGTCGGTATCTCTACAGGTCGTATTTTAGAACCGATCTGGACGAAACTTGGTATACGAGATTTACGGGGATTTTTAATTGGAGGAGTACTTCCTCCACTGGATATCTCCGACTTATGAGATCTGATTTCAATGGTTCTTTTGAAGTTATACTTCTATTGGCACGTTTGGAAAAAAATATGAGAGTAAAAATTTTACGATGCGCGCGATGATTAGCTGAAAGCGACATGATGAAGTTAGCTGCATTGCTTTTACAGAGAGTTGTGACATACGGGATGAAATCTTTAGCTATTTTTGTTCTGTTACGCCAACGAAGTATTATAACTTCTTACGTGAGTACATAAGTACACATGTACAATTTTTTTATTTGAATTTGGTGAAGAGGAAGTATGTACGGCGGGATTACTAGAATAGCTCCTCAAAATGCAGTAAATTGCTCACATATCTTTAGTGGTATATTAAGTGTTGCAAAAAAGTGCTCGCGAGGTCTACTGTTCGCAGAACTACTAGTACATATATGTAATGCTACCATTAAAAATTATCAATTCATAAGCTCTCACCGTGTCTAGCTTGTCTATCCGAGTGAGAAGTCTCTCACAACAACGAATCATGAGGGCTGGAATGATACTGTCGTCTTTTCTAAGATCCAATAAACCATATCTTTCCTTCACTTCTTTCCATATCGCCTTTTCTACATGTTTATTACTGTAATAACGAATTTCAATATATTTAGATTTTATTAAACTACTTTGTTAGCATTTAAATTTTAAAGAAAAAATCAAATAAATATATTTCTTATTTTTTATCCTAAAAACTAAACACTACTTTCTGTGTATTTCACATTAAGAATAACAGAGTTTTATACAATCTTTAATCCCTTACTTTACCCAGTTAGGGGATGAATTTTGAATAATCCTTATCGGATGCCTACATTATATTATAAGAAATACGTCCTCCAAGTTTTACGTTTCTACGACTAGCGATTTAGGCTGTGTTGATTCATTAATCAGTCGGTATCACTGCAGGATGCACCTCTCCTTCTCAATTCTTCCTTCAGCTGGTCTAACTTCCAGGTACAATACATTGCACAGATAAGATGCGAACACAATAGATGGAAAACACCAGGTATAAAAGAGATATCACAATAAATTGCTTAACCTCAAACTGAATGTAAATAGGCGATATGTGTGGCGCCCTCCTTTCGAGGATCTTCCATAATGGAATTAAATTAGAAGTATACACTTTCAAACAAAACAAAAATTGTCCAAATCGGTTAATAAATGACGGAGATCTCTAGCTCCTTCTTTTTGAAGTCGTTTGAAAATGAATATAGTCTGAACTCAAAATAAATTTTAATTAAAAAGTAAATCGATAAATCCACTTCAAATTAACTTCCAACCTTAAGATAGCATTATTAAAAATTAAAAAAATCATGAACTCATTTTCTAAAGTTGGTTACAAAATATAGATAACTTACATGCTGTATTCAGTTAGCAAGAGCGTTGCCTCGTCCAGATGCGCGGCGATGAAGGCGACCAGCTCGTCCGCGGGACACGACGCCGGCGTGATGAATTGCCCCGTGGGTGACACCATCAGGGGACCCGCTTCACTGAAATATTCATATTGCAGTGCATTATTTTATTTTCGTTTAGCGTATATTAATTTATTTTATGTACCAGTGACTCACTAGTCCCTAGCTTGCTTCCCAATACAGACTTTCATCCCCATTTTCAGCCTCTTAAGGGATGATTTTTGGGATAAAAAGTATCCTATGTCCTTCCCTGGGTCTCAAACTATCTACTTACCAAATTTCACCTAAAGTCAGTCAGTAGACCCAGAGATTACCCCCTATAACGTCACAAACTTTACCTCTTTATAATATTAGTATAGATTTAAAGATAATTTTTTCATCTTTTGTATATCTATCTATATAGATAAATAAAATCGAAGTATCTGTTTGTAATGTCAAAATAACAGCTTTTTACTTAATGCATATAAAATTATACACGAATAAACAGACAGACAAAAATTCTAAAAACTATAGATACGGCCATAGAGGCCGATATTAATCGATAATAATGTCTATTTAAAAAAAAATCCGAAAAAATATTTAAAAAGTGATCGGCTTTATACATATATAACTCGCGTCATCTAAAAAGAACGCTGGAAGAAAGTGGAGAGGGTATGTTTGCGCATGGGTATACTCGCGCACAAAAGTACTAAGCCTATTATTTTATTTTTCATAGCATTTCGCTCTCGACTTCATATATTAGTTTCATTTTCATTGGTAGGTACATTGAAAAATATATTAGATAGAATATCATTAAATAGAATTTTATTCATTATTAAAATATATTTGATTCAGTGCAGAATGTTTAATCTACTTACAAAAAATTAAATTAATACGTTTAATACATTTTTTTTATTATTAACTGCATTATTATTAGACTCTCTCTTTGTAACAATTTTTCTCTTTTCTATATATAAAACCATTTCGTAATTAAAAACTTTTGTGTGCGCAACGAACTGACGAACCAAAAGCGCGCCGGCAAGCATGCGGCGCGTGCCCCGCAGCCCCGCTTCTTACCACCATTTTGACCGATAAATCGCTTTTGCGCAGCTTGACAGCCAGCGTTCTTTTTAGATGACGCGAGTTATACTAGCATTACCCGAGGCTCCACCCGCGTTCAGATGACCAAAAACCAAACTCTTAGGTTTTACATATTAGTATACTCTTACAATGCAGTTTTTGTATTTTTTCTCAGAAATGAGATATTTTCCCACAGTAAAAAGTATCCTATATGTTGACCCGGATAACCAGCTATCATCATACCAAATTTCATCAAAATCTGTCGTGGTTTTCTCGTGATGCGGTGACAGACAGACAGACAGACAAAAATTCTAAAACTATAGATTCGGACTCTGTATCGATAATAATGTCTATTTCAATTAGATTTTCCAAAAAATATTTAATGTACAGATTCGACTTAGTTACAATTTTATTATATGTATAGATATCACATTAGTCTCACAGATTAAATAATATATTTATGTGGACTCTAATTTTTTTTCACCCTTCTGTTACATGTATGGAAAAGAGAGAGAACCACCCTTTTTTATTTCTGTAATTTGAGTACAGAATTGTCTAGCGATTCACGAGAAACACTTTCCTACGAAATTTCAGCAATATAGCTTTATTAGTCTTCAAATAAAATGCCTGTGACATTTGTGCAAGCCTAGATGGCGAAATTATAAGGGTTCTGTTTTAGTTTTTTGGCTACTGAACCCTAAAAATGAAGCATCATGCATGTAACACTATCTTTTAAAAATCGTTAAGACATTTTGTTTCCAAAAAGTACAATTTGTATACTAAAATAATATTATATTATTTATAATATATATTAACAAATCAAGGGGTAAAATAAAAACTAAATTAAAAAAACGAAACTCACGGTTCAACAACTATTTCATATTTACTAAGAGATTCGGGTACACAGTCTGGGATCTTTTTTCCGCGTCCATAAAAGTCTCCTATAGATGTTATCAACTGTCTGAGGTGACTGCAATATTGTGCTGCAGAAACTTTTGGCATAAATTTTCTGAAAACATAAATAAATATTCATAGTAAATATATTGTCACAATATATATGTATATCCCATACCATACAAAAAAGTAGGCGGCCTTAATTATATTCTTCGGGGTATTGAATTTTTTTCCAAAATAGGCAATACATAGGGTTGACTCAAAGCTGCTGAAGTATTTTTCAACCGATTTCTTCAAAAAGGAAGAGGTTCTCAGTTCATTGGAATCTTTATTTTTATGTATGTTCAACGGTTATTTCGAGAGAGTCTAATCCCCATTTAGTTATGTTTTACTTTTTAGTATTAATTATTATTATTATTATTATTTAATAGTTTTTATTGCGTTTTTTTTGTTTTATATTATAAAAAATTACGCAATAATATTTAATGTAGCAAACATAAAACAAATTTTAGCGACTTTAACATTTTGTAACTATGGAAACTATTTATAGTATTTGTTATGGAAATACAATATTAAGATTTCTTTAAATATATCATTGAAAACCGTGTTTACTGGTAGATAAAAATATTTACTAAATACGTGAATTTACAATACCTTCTACAAATGTGTATATCTCTTAATATGCTAGATAAAGCTTTCTCATAGTTGGGTATTTGTGTTAAGGCACTATCTTCAAAGCTCACTTTTTTTATTAGCTGTAATAAAAACACATTATTGGAAATTTAATTTATTAATTAATAAGCAATGATTCTATGTTTATTACCGATAGCCATTCATTTCTAACGTCCATAATGTTCAGAAATATATCTCCATCCAAACTGACTCCTGTAAATTGTCCTAAAGCGATAGTCCTGCCTAAAATAAAGAAAAATATTATTTATATTCCATAATATTAGAAATTTAATCAATTTTTATAGAATAATAAAGAAATAGAATTTGTTTGTTTTTTGTATGAAGGTATAAACTCTGATTCTGAATTGTTTAATTTCTTTTATTAATAAGAAGAATTAATGAATTATCCCTGAGTAACCAAAGTCAAATAAGGGTTGTCAAGTACTACATAAGCAGAGATGATCCAATATTTATAAAGTAATGAAAATAATAACCCTATGGATGTACCTTTTAAATTATCCATAATATGTTTTGAATGTTGTGAAGCCATGGAGGTAAGACTTTGAAGTGCTCCTCTAATATGACTTATGTTCCAACCGCTATCATACTTAACCTGTAATAATTATAAATCATTACAAAATTACTACTTAAATATGTTTCATTAAAAGCAGTAATTATAAGAAAGACATATATTTATCGTAAATTAAATAGTGATAAATAAGTTATTTTAATGCAGTAGCTGACTTTCATGTCATTATGTAGAGGATATTTGGCCCAAAGTAAGATCAATACTAGTATTATAAAAAGGCAGAGATTGTTAATATCTATGATAATAATCCAATTTGAAAAATTCTTTTTGCATAGATAACCCGTTCATTGAGCAAGACTAATAGGCTATATATCATATAATATATTCTATCCATGAACGAATTAGCCACAATTGGGTCATGATTCTATCTATACATTATATTAGTTCTGCCAAACTATCTTTAATTTAAAAAAAGCCTTAATGCTTACATTGAACAATATTATTAAAACAATTTTTTTTTATTAAATAGAAAAGAAACAATTTTATAAATTATATAAAGCAAATCTTAAGATTTAGCAATTACAAATAAAATAGAAGTTTAGGTAGAAAGTGCTGTATAGCAAGAATGGGAAGTATATTACTTATAAAAATTTATGTGAATCGAGTAAGAACTGGATAATATGATAATTGGTAACCAATAAATTACTATTAAATATATAAATGTACATGAAGCATACTTATTCAGGCTTTACCAACTTCTTTTATACCATATGTATTGCAGAGTTGTTCTATGAGAGAATTCACTTGTTGTCTTGTTGGACTTGTCATTTCATATTTATTCCTTCCATCTTTACTATTTTCTGTTATCCATTCTCTAGAATGTTAAAAAGATAATGAGTTAAATCAAATAAATGTTGTATCAACTCAAAAAGCGACTAGTATTTACAGTTCATGATATAAAAAAATATTTGAGAAAAATACAAAAATAATTTTTAGGACTATTCCATGAACGATTTTAACAGTGCAAAAATAATTTTCACTAAATAAAATTAAACATACATTATATTGGAGATAGATCTTTTTTCTTCAACTTTCCTTTTCATTTTTACAGCTTTTTCAAACTCAGAGTTGTACTCTTCATATGCTTTTGTGAAATCAATATTTCTAAAATATATATAAAATCAAAGAAAAAGTGAATTATAAAATTGACATTGCACATAATTTACATATTGGTTAAATGTTACCTATTATCTATTTTACTTGAGCTTCTTGGAATCTTGTCTACATAATTAGTTGATATATCACAGGCATTCAAAATTTTTACTACAGTTTCTCTTACATTTTTGCTATTTAGATATATTTTAACTAATTTGAAATTACCTACAAAATGAAAAAATGTTTTAGTACATGATGGTTTTTATTAGGAATAAAGAAAATAATATATAAAGAATTATTTAGTATATTACCTTCAGGCATATCTTTTTGCCTTAAATAAAAAGAGAGTGCAGGAATGGACATGTTTCGACTAGATTGTTGAGCTTCTATTAATGCACTTAGCTGTTGCAGAGAATGTTCATTTATTTTCTATAAATAGGTTGACACTTTGCATCAATTATAAATTTTCATCAATTTTATTTCAAAAAGTACCTATTTTTATGAAAAATAAATAACTTTTGTGGAAAAAAAATCTTAAAATTAACAAATGACCTATCAGTTATCTATATTCTTTCTTTAAATCGACATAAAAAAATACTTACTCTTTGTTCTGGGTATTTCCCAAACAAATCAGGATGCACACTAAAATAAAATGGCCTTAATGCTGTAGAAACCTCTGCAGAACTCAAGGATCTGCAAAGAATTCCTCCTAAACAGGTACATCTAAAAAAAGTTTAATAAATCTTACTTCTATTCATTGTAATAATTATTATTCATTATAAACATTTTAAAAATTACCGTAATTGTAACCTGCACAACATGATTAAAACAAAAGAATAAAATGATTTTTTTTAAATACTTTATAGATTTTGCGCACTATTTCTTTTGTGAAAACATATTTCTATTTTAGTATGATCTCGATTTGATATCAGATCCACAGATGAGATCCATCAAAGAGTATAGATATATACTATTACTGAGATCCATTGATCCATATTCCATTCATTTTTTGACATATCATATGAGTTATGACAGTTAAAATTTTATGACTTGAAAAGTTGAAATTTAGACATAGATAATAAATGTATTTAATGCTTAAGACACGTAGACAGATCTAATTCTCAGTCTACGTAAAGAGCTATTTAGTTTACAGGTGAAGTAGAGCAAAATTAACTTAACATGCAAAAAAAATTTTTTATATAGTTTATAGACTATTAAAGGGATATAGTTAAGTTTTTATAATGGGGAAGAATTTTGCCTTTTTCTCCCGCCAGATGTCACAATCACTATGACCCCCAGAATTTTGTAAGGCTCTATAGTGTGGATGGTTTTTTTTTCATTTTATTTATAACTTAATTAAAGTAACAAACTGTGCAGGGCCAGGATACAACGAAAATGGATATCATTTGTTTGCAAAAGACAAAAACTGATGAAATTGTGGGGTTACCAAAATTGGTGAAATCACAATCTTTATATTTAAGGCTATGAACATCATTTTAAAGAAAGTTATTTAAAAACTCTGAAATTGTCTACAGGTGAATATTTTTTTTATTTTTTGTACTTTTTAACATATTAATTACAGAGTTTCATACAAACTTTCAACCCCCATTTTACCCCTTTATGTGATTGAATTCCGAAAAATGCTAAAATTAAAATATTTATTTAATTGTATTGAAGAGCATGAACACCAAGTTTCAGGTAATTCTGATCATAAATAATATTTTGCCCTTCAAGTCCTCCAAATTTCAAGTCTCTACGACCAGCCGTCTAGGCTGTGGCAGGATGTACTTCTCTTCTTAAAACTTCCTTCAGCTAAATAGGCCATACGTGTGGCGCCCTTCTTTCGAGATATCTTCCCCACTAATCAAACTTTAATGTTGTAAATAAGTAAAGTGTAGTTAGTTTTAAACAAAAAATGAGCGTAGGACTAGGTACTGTAAAATACATAAAATGGGGACTTTCGCTAACCATGTTATTATTGACAATTTTAATTTTGTTTAAACTTATATCAATTTTGCTTCAAAACAATTATGTTTAATATAGGTTAGACTATTTCTATTACATTTTAAATATTTCTATTACGATTTAGCTGATAATTTTAGTAGCTATATATTACTATTTAATATAAATATCATTAAGAAAACAACAAAGAAAGACGCCAACACTTATCCCGGTTGAAAAAAAATATTTAGATGATAATAGATAAGCACCCATTCATAACAGAGGTATTCTGAAGGCTGCACGAAGATCAGATGTGCAGATTATGACTCAGTGGCCAGTGCTTTAATGCAGACGCGGTAGCGCCATGCGCCGCTTATCCTCCGCCAGCCTTCAGTGCTTGTCTCTTGTCGAGCTGCCTTATAATTGATATAGAGACGAGTTCAATAAATAAGCGATAAATATACCAACAGAGTGGCGGCGAGCAGAGAGCGGCAGTCGAGTGGCGGCCGCGTCGCGTATCACACACTCGCGGCAAGTGTTGGACCTAAAGTTCATTCGACATTTTTCTATCGGACGTCGAAGGAATCTCACCGGACTGGTTCCCGCGCAACGCTGCGTTAGTGCGCCGCTCTGGTGAACCCTTTCGCTTGTAAATGTGCCGATATTTACATATGCGCGCTCGATCTTGCATCGAACTTTCGATCGCTCGTAGCTCAACTGGTGTGCTCTGCGAGCAGGCCGCCGGCGCGCCTGCGCCCGCGCCGTCGCTGCCGCCCCAGCGCGCTCACCTTCTGCACAACGTGCGATGATCCACGTACGTTTGATAAAATGCCATTTATAAGTTTATTTTGCTATATAAATCTTTTCTCAATCAATTTATAACATTTTGTCATAGGTAACATTGATGGGGTACACTTCCTACTTTTAACTTTGAAATAAATTTCCACTTGATATAATTCCACAAATATAATCTAACGTACCTACCCTTAATCTCTCCACGACCGCAGACACGCCGGCGTTACAGTTAACAGTGGATTTCTTAGAAATTTAATTAATTTCTTAGAAATTTACCTGGAGGTGTTAATAATTATCATTTAAAAGCGAATATAAAGCTGTACCTGGTTAGCTTAAGGCAATGTCTTTTTCATTAATAATACATATATTTTTTTAAGTTAACTTGTCAATAATGTATCTAATTAGATACAGGCAAAGTGAAAATCTCGCTAAGATATCCAATATACCTATGTAGGTAATTAATTTTAGAATAATGTATCTACTTGATTTGTATCTGATAATGTAAAATAACAGATTGTAAAAGCTCTATCAGGAACTAAAAAGATAAGGTAATTACTTATTAAGCGTGATTTCATATCTAAAAGTACGACAAATAATGAAAATTTGCTTCGTAAGCAACTTTTAAAATAGTCTACAGTAATGTGCTAAAACTGTTTCTTTGATCTATCTTAAGTTAACTAGTCTAACCTGTTATGTCTCCACTAACCTAACAACGTCACGAACGCGTCTCGTTCATTTTAAGTCATAAATACATTAGATAACTCTATAGTTTACATATTATTCTTATAGGTGCCATAAGCATACAAAATAACTAATAAGTTACTACATGACTTCATAAAAATTCATTGTCACAAATATACCTATTATTGGCATCGATTTTAAAAATGTATGAATCGCTATTAGGTACTTACCTACTATCTAAATATTATATTATGTAGGTACCTAAATATAAGGCTTTATCCTAATTTTAATTGTTTTCTAAACATGTATTAGAAGAGTTTAACTAAGATATCAAAAAATCTGCAACAAAACTAAAGAGTTTAATACTGTTATTTTCGAAATAAATACCTAGCGGTACTATTATACGAGTATAATATGGGCTCCACAATCTAGATACATGTTTACAATAATTGCAATACTAAATAGCGAACTAAAACGTAAACAAAAAGATTTATCTGTAGAGTACTACATATACCAACTATTCGATAATAAATGTTCCAGAGCAAGAATCTCGACATAATATGGTCAGTCATTTGAAATTATATTGTGGTCTTGACCTCTGCGGTCTCTAGGATTACTTACTAGAATGCAAAGGTCATCTCGGCTTTATTGTATCATTAATTAAACGCTTAATAGAATAGGAACAGTAGTATGTAACTAAATTGTCTCGTTTCTTGGTATTGTTCTCATTTATTGAATAAAAAACAGGAAAATGGCGATTTGTAGTTTGTGAAATGCCCTTTTTCATTATAGTTCTTGATAATTATGGTTGCAAACTTTTCTTTCATTCTGTTTTTACATACACAGAATGTAATTTTCAATATTACTAATCGAACAGCTAACTTTACAGAATTTGCTTTGTTTGGGTTAGTTTTATGCAGACCTATATTCCTTATATTTGTGATGTGGAACAAGATACCAAGACTAAATTTTTTAAATCGATGACGATATGCCAAATACTCTACCTCACATTTGTAAAGATATTCTAATTGTCTAACTTTCCTTTATAGAGAGAACTTGTCCAGTAACGAATCACTTAGTTTTCAGTTTTCGATCTATAATAAGACAGTGTATTCCGGATGATAATTTTATCTTTAGTCAAGTTTTGTCTTATATACACACCACATAGAAATCTCTATAGTATAGTAAACAAAAATCACCCATGCTCCGGGTCCTGGAGTGACAGAGAGTGCTAGTAAAATGTATACCTCTTTTATTTTATTCAAAGTGTGACATAAAGGATATGAATAATTTCTAAAATACTGTTGTTAAAGGCTACGGATCTGAGTTCTTAATTCATGAGAGAATAAAATACAAAAAAAAAATCTTTTCGATTATTATCACTAAGCAAACCATGACCTAGACTATGTCAGCCATATCGGTTAAAGAATCTCAACGATGCTTATACCTATGCTGCCTTAATGTATAAACACTCAATCGGTATAATTCTTGATAATGAAAGTTTCTGCATTGCTGTAAGTCATTGGTTTGGAGCACCGTTAGGTCGAAGCACAGATATCATTGTGAAAAGAAGGTTGATCTTCTCAATATAAATGAACTTTTATACTAAGCTTTATTCTGTATTATATATTATGTAACTATGTTTTCTTAAATTGTGTAAAAAACTTATACGTATTTACTCTTTATATAGTATATACTTGATATTAATGCATTATAAATAATATTATACCTACTTATCTGGTACATATTTTAAACATAAAAAACCCGACTGCGTAAAAGCTAACTAAAAAGATGAAAACAAGTTGACGAAGGAATAAAGTGTTATTCAGTCGGAGACTTGCAGGTTTCATCCTTGCCGCAAGATGTATGCACATACATATGTATGTCGCCGACTGCATAATACTTTATTTATGCAGTATATTATAGTCTGCAGGTTTTTTTTATGTTTATGTTATATTTTTTTATTTACAGCTTTTTAATTTTTTTAAAGTTATATTTAGCAATTTTTTATCCTAAACTAGCGGCTCACCCTCGTTCTGCTCGGGTTCGCCTCTAGAAAAGCACAAACACATCAATCCCACAGGAACTGTCCATTTTTTCGGAATAAAAAGTAATCTGTTGTTTGACCGGCAATATAAGGTATCAGCATACCAAATTTTACTAAATTAGGTGCATAAGTTGTTGTGTACTAAACTGTATAAATAACTATATTTTTTTAACTATCCCACGGGAACTCTTTAATTTTCCGGGATAAAAAGTTCTCTAAAATGTTGACCGGAGACATAAGGAACCGCCATGCAAAATTTCATTTAAATCGGTCCAACAGTTTCAGAGATTAGCCCGTACAAACAGACAAACGGACAAACAAACAGAGAAAAAAAATTAAATAATCTGGATTTGTTCTATTTCTCTTCTTACATCCCCCTGACTCGGTTTTTAGCATTTTTTTCTATGTAAAGACATTTGACCTCAAAAGTTTTATTATATGTATATATTACTTTTAAACATATATATATACTTAAGTTGTATATATTTTTGTGATCGCCTCTTAAAAATACCCCACTCTTTTTCCAATTGGATTTGAAGAATTTTTTTTTAAAGACACTAATTGGCGCTTGAAATCCGCTATTTTGATTTTTAATTTATATGGCCAACGATATACGTTTGGTCTCTAGAACGCCACATAGGACCAAACATACATACATATGTACATACATCCTTACATACATACATAGATACTGATAAACACATTACCCTCCTTTGTGTCGCGCAGAAATCTCAAAATTTTATGAAACGAAGGAATTATTTTAAGATGATTTTTATTTTTTTTTAAAGTTATTTAAGATGCATACAAATATCTAATAAAGGGATTTGTTGACCAAGATATAGAGTTTGTGAAGTTAGAGCTTGTAGAATTAGGGCGTGTAGAGCTAGAAGCTCGGCTGTACATGAGATCTGATAACTTTTTCACAATGCGAGCCATATTATAGTCTCGTCTTGGCAATATTTGTGAAAATGTTTTTGGTGGGATAATATTTTCTGACGAAAATGACTTAGATCTTACTTTTATCATACAATTACAATACTTTGACACAATATCAAAAGACATATTTCAGCATTTTCGTGAAGTCTCTCTCTTTGCCTAGCCTTATTCCTTTCATTTGGGGTCAGCTCTCCTCACCATTCTTTGCCAGATGTTTCGGTTCCGGGTCGTCGATTCATTTACTTGGTCTTGCTTCAGGTCATTGTTGACTACAGACATCCAAGTGAGAAGGGGTCTACCTCGCTTCTTTGGACCTGAATTCATATAGAGAACCTTCTCTCCTCTCCTAGAGGCATTCTCATTATATGACCATACCACCTCATGCGCGCTTCAGAGAGTTTTTCTTCGATTGGGCGGATCTTAAAACTTCCTTGAATATGCTCGTTTCTTACTCTGTCTCTAAGAGTGATACCTCCTGCCCATCTCAGCATCCTCATCTCGGTCGTGTGTATTTTCTTGACCTGGGATTTTTTATTGGCCATTTGGCAAGTGTGGGAAATTAAAAAAGATACCTGAACGAAGTTGATTCTGATTGCTAGTTCATATTGTAGGCATCTAACCAAAGAAAATCTTTGTGCTAGGATTGGTGACTACCGAAGCATGGCCATCAAAGGCCGACGTTTACGCTATTCTGATTTTACTGGCGCCGCCCCACAGTGAACTTATTATATAAAATATACTCTGATTTAAATTCTTAATAAAGTATTATATTATAAATACAACACTATAAACGTATGTTTGTTGAGTTTATTAATATGGCTCTACAGAATATTAGCAAAATGTAACTTACTATGTTTTAAAAATCAACAAGTAACATTTACGTTGTTTTTTAGAAAACATGTTATGCAACACAACAACACGTTTACTTAATAAATTATATTTATAATCAGGACCACATCACTTGACTCGGCCATAAAAATGATATAACTCGATATTAGCATATCGCTCTCATAGAATTATAGAGCCTACAAAGTCATACATAGTTTAAGTTCGAAATATGTATATCCTCAATTTTTTTTATATTACATTTGGATCAAAGTAACCGTGACCTTTAGGAGAAGTCTAGACCTGTATCTACTACTAACTCATAACGACTATATACGAGCTGTGTCGGTTTACATAATGCCACTTAAATAGGCGATTAAAAAGCATTCGGTAAAACTGTTTTTATATAAGAGCAAAGTATTATTTACTTAAATCTCAAACATATTTACATCAAAATATATTAGTGTACTTACACACTTCAAGGAAAAATATTTTTTTCTTGGATTATCTGGTCAGATTTTAAGATATTAGTATTTTATTTTCGTATTTTTTTAACATTATTATTAACATTAACTTGATATATGTAAAACTATCTTTAAATAACAAATAAACTTAGTTAAGCTGTGTAAATAAAGAAAACTGCCTAATTTAACCTTGATAAAAATTTGCCTACAATTTTTTAGTAAGTACCTACCTACAGGAATTTCTACAATTAAGCATTCTGATCCATACTATAAACTTATATTATCTTTACTATTTTCCTTTTTATTCGCAATAAATGGTAAATATGATACAATAAAATACGCTTATTTTTCGCCTGTGATATTATGTTTAACATAACGAGTTCTTCAAGGTTAATATTATTAGTACAATATGGATGTCTCCCTATCACACTGTTCAGCCTTAATATACTTGTATACCTGAATATTTATTACAATTCATAAATTTTTGCATAGTTCTTTCGTTAAAATTTACTTATTTAGTTTAAATATTTTGTATAGTTTAATTTGTTTTAATTCATTGGTTTGTTACATAAATATGTTCCTATCGTAAATAAAGTATGTACGGTAAGTATGTTTAAAATAAATTTAAATTAATTTATCTTCATTTATAAGTAAATATTGCAAAATAAAGTTACTTTCTGTAATTTTAAAATCGCTGCGACACTACTTGGTTAATTATAATTTTTACTACATATAGGCCCAAAAATCTTTTTGTACCCGTTTACATTCGAAATGACGAAATCCTTTTACATGAAAAGAAAATTGAGTTTTATGACACGGGGTGCAATAAAGGACAGGCATGTGGCTGGTACACTAGTAACTAATTATTAAAATTTTTATTTACCACTAAACATTTATTATTTTAGAATATGTATATTCAAATAATTTATTACATGATAAATACTAGTGTATATGATTTATTAAAGGGATAAATACTCTTGAACTTTTGCATACGATCTTTTAACAAGTAGAACGTGTGAAATAATAACCCATTACGCTAATTAGGCAACGTCGGGCTCATAGGTACCCTGTGGGCTAGTGGAGTAGTAGTTGCGTAGGCAGCACGTAATTATAGCAATTATATACAAGTATGCCTTATAAAACTCGCTAGTCAGTTTGAAGCAATCACTCATTTTTAGAAACAAAATAAGTAATGTGATAATTATAAATTAAACATTTCAAAAACCCCCTACGCATATTAATTGTCATTTAACGATTACACTGGCACGCGTGAAGCACTTAATTATGTAATCATACGCCAAAATGCCTTACATCATTTTGGAAAAAAGCTGATATTCTTACACTACTGGACCGATATTAACCTAACATAGTTAAGAACCACCGCAAGGAAACTGGCTTTCAAATGAAAAAAAAACTGCATCGAAATCGATCTATCCGTTTGGGAGCTACGATGACACAGACAGACAAACACACACACACAGACAGACAGACATCGACGTCAAACTTATAACTTCAAATTCAATTCATACTCAAATTCAAACTCTTTTTGCGTCGGTGGTTAAAAATGCCATGAATTATGTTTTTCGTGTGCACAAAAAAAACACAATAAAGCTGTAATTGTCAAATATTTCACCACTTTCATTTCTACCAAAAGAAGAATCAATTTTAGTATTCTGTGCTCTACAAAAAAATACGGTGGACCTTTATGGACTCACTCTTCAGTGATTGTTGGAGAAGTCTACTTAGCAGTTAGCGATTATTGTTCTCCTCGGAAATACACCCAGATTATTAACAACTGCCTCGGTGTCATGGTATAGTGGCTAGCATGTACGACTGCACACTTGGAGGTCCTGGGTTCGAGTCCCGGGTCGGGCCAAGTTTAGTTATTGCGTCTTTCTGTATAGTAAGTCTCAGTAACAGCCCGGAGTTGGGAAGTTGGCGGTGTTTCACCCCCGTGCCTCGGAGAGCACGTGAAGCCGTCGGTCCTGCGCCTTAGCTCTCACTGGTCGTGTCGAGTAGTCGTCCCACCGGAGTATGAGAGTGACAGGAATAGAGAGTGCACTTGTGTCTGCGCGTACACTTATGCACTATAATATCTCCTGCGCAGTTGGCTAGTCTTAATGAGATTGGCCGCCGTGGCCGGAATCGGTCAGGAGAACATCATCATCATCTTTGTATTGATCACAATATTTCAGGTAGGCATATCATAGATTTTTTATATAAATTGAGGTTGAGGTATTATTTATTAAAAACCTGCGTTCACCTTGTCGTGGTGGAGGGGAAGGAGGGGATCTCATTAGCGTCTGGCAATCCAGCCGGGGCCGAAGGCAAGAAACGCACCAGTAGGCGGCCCACCTCGGTGGGCGGTATGCCATGCGGGTTGTTTATGGTACTTCTCTGATAGCAGAGTGGACCGTTGGAGCAACCCCATATCTATTGTGGTCTGCTTCGTCAGATCTGCCGTCGGCGCGTCGTGGTTGAGTGCGTAAGTAATCCTGTGACGCCCCATTAAGACGGGGGATTGTATAAAGAAAATATTTATTTAATATTATTTTATACATATTTTATAAAAAATCTATATGATATTAAATGTAAACCTAGTAATAATATTAATTTGATATAACAATATGGAAATAAATGCTAATGAAACAGATGTGTTAGAAATCTTATAAATTATCTTCAGTTTCATGAGGTGCATGTGTAGTACATATGTGCTCTATGATGAACAAAACTGCCTAGAATGTTAATAAAAAGATATGTAGGTACACACCATGACCATAATCTTTTCCACTCCTTTAGGTAATGAATTTCAAAAAATTTGATCTCAACTGTGACCTATTTTATAACAAAAATACACTATCAAAATTTCAGAACGCTACGCCCATCGGTTTGGTCTAGATTCGAGGGCGATGATAAATAACTCTGGACATCCAACCTCAATTAAAATTTTCAAATTCATCATTCAATCATTTTGAAATGTTATAAATTCAAAGGTTTGCGAAGTATAATTATAATGTGAAAGGACTATTAGTGCTTTGAATTTAATTTATTAACTTGACGGAAATCAATGTTGATTCACGGACTGCATTATTAGTATGGCATATTACCAATCAGATAAGGTATAATCAATAAATAAAACACGGCGATAGATCAGCATGTATCTCAGTACAGATCTTCGGAATGCGTTGACGACCTTCAATTTGACACGACGAGCTGACACTATTGCATTATGATAGCGATCACTGCATTTGTAGGCTTCTGCCAATGCAATTGGAACCAGTCGATGTAATTTTACTCGACATCAAACATAAAAAGACCCTATTCATACTCGCATAAGGACAGTCCGCTTTCACACTACACTCAGTTACAGGGAAGTGAAATTAAATCCTAATTGGTAGAAATATAAATCTAAGTTGTTCTTTGTAATTCAGATTGCAGTAAAAATAACACGTGTCGAAGTTATAGTTCTTTAGTGCGCCCTATGGGCTTCTACATACTTATCTAGTTGGTTTTGAAACTATACAGTACATATATCTATTGAAAATATGCATAAGTATATATTATGGCTCAAATGTAAACTTTTTGTTACTTAATAACATATCTTTAACTTATACTTTAAATGATTCACTGTTATTTTTCAAATATATCAAATGTATTTCAATATCATCTCAAATAACAATTGCGGTTACGGAATTCTTAGTGTAGCACTGGAATGTTGAACCAGTAGATACTTGGTTCTAAAAATATATCTTAGAAATATAATACTAAACAGTTGTTATAAAATCAATAATTTGTTTTGAAAATTTTCAGGCTTATTTATGCCTGTGGCTCCGCATATTTTTTAGTGTCTAATCATCTAACTATCACGATTTATTTTTATGTAGCAGCGAAGAGATTAAGAGTTGAACACTATTAATTTGGACATAGAAAACCAATGCACTAATGATAATAAATTAAACTAACCTTTGTTTTTATTTCATTTTGACCGAAATATGAGAAAGGATAGCAATGCAAATTCTTAAAATATAATCTACTAGCGACTCGAGCTACTTGCTTCCCAATACAAACGTTCATCCCCATTTTCAGCCCCTTAAGGGATGATTTCCTGAATAAAAAGTATCTATGTCCTTTCTAAGGTCTCAAACTATCTTCTTACCAAATGTCATCTAAATCGGTTCAGTAGATCCAGAGATTACCCCCTAAAACGTCACAAACTCATAAATTTTACCTCTTTATAATATTAGTATGGGTAG